TGTGGGAGAAAATCATCTTCTAAAAATGGCATTAGAAGACTAGTATGAATTCTCAACAGTGTAGATTTTAAAAAGTGCTTTTTGCTGCCACTGCTCTCTGAAGACTGTTGTGACAGTTGGTAGGGACGTGTTGGCCTGTCTTGTACCTTGTTTTTCACACTGCAGTTTTGAAATTTAATTTCTGAAGCTCCATGCAGTTGTACAAATTATTTGGTGCAAAAAGGAAAAAAAGGAGTGGGGGGCTCGTTTTACAGACACTCAGTTATGAACCAACAACACTGAAGGTTCAGGCTTCTGACACTTTGATCTCTTGAGTTTTTCATTTGCATGGTTTCAATTTAAATGTGGTCCCTCTACCATTAAAGTACTAACAAAATGCTTATTTCCATGTGCAGTGCATACTGTGTAAACATTGTAAACAGGACTGTCAAGTTGGTTATGTACTAGTTTTCATCTAATTCGTGTCCTAAATTATCAGAAAACCTCTAAGCAGCCAGAGGAAGCTATAGTTAATTAAGCCACAGATGGTGAGGACTAATGTGGTGTTGACCTTTGTGAGGACTGCAAAATCTCCTTAGTCTTTCTCTGTAAAACACTAGCTGAAATGAGTTCCTACTGATATTAAAAAGATGTCCTTGATGTGTGAAGCCAAATGCAGAGGTGCTGTGGAAAGCTCCATGGAAGGAGCTTTCCCAAATAAACGTTTGCAGGTTCCTAGTGTGTGACAGGTGTTGAGACTTTGTCTTCAGGGCTCTGATTTAAGCCTTTTTACTCCCAAAGCCACTGTTTTTCTAGAATTGGTTTACCTGGAATGCATATTGTCAGTTCTCCTCCTCTCCTTCACTGAAAATGGAGAGTTGACAGCTGACCAGAGTTTCTGTACCCTCCTATAAGCAGCATGCAGGCTGTGTTTGGAGGTGGGAGCATCACTGGAATCAAACAGTCCAACTGTTGTTCTTTGCCTCCAGGGTTTCGTCTCTCCGTGAACTCATTTCTACCCCTCAAGGTTTTGAAGAAGGACTTGGAGAAGTATTTTAAAATGCTGAGGAAAACATCTTGCTTCAATAGTTCAAGTCTTGTGGGGAAGGTAGAGAGCTGTGGAAATGTGTGGGCGTTCCCACCACAATCATGCCTGGCTGCCCAAAATGGAAAAGGAGCTTGTGGTGGTTTGAGCCTTTCAGAGGCACTTTGTATGGTCTTCGGGCAATACAAATTCAGCTCATCCAGGGATACCTCTCAGGGCCTTGGGCAGTATTTTTTTGTGGATGTGGCTTGAGTGGGAGAATTCTCTGTGCATTTGGATTTTGTCTTGTTTTTCTCTGGGTACTGTCTTTGAAATTCCTGTTTGATCTTAAAGGAATTTTGAAGCATTGTAAGTGATCTGCACTTGTTCATCTGTGACTCTGAATGCTAAATTATTTTTGTCTGAATAAGATCTCCGAAATTACTTCTCTGAACAAAAATTTCTACTTGCTGGTTAGAGCAGTGTGGTATCTTCACCTGTGATGGTATTGTCTGTAGTTTCAACCTGCTTTGTATCATTTTGCACCAGAAGAAAGAACAGATACATTCAGAAAAACACAGGATCACTTTGTTACGTGGGAAAATGTCATTCTCTCTACTTCTTGGGACTTCTTTGTGGTGTCAGGCATGTCCCCAGTATGTGAGAATGATCACCTAGAGAGACATGCAGCTGACCCAGTTTTTTGGATAATTAAACTTGAAGTCCAGTCCACCAGAAGTGAATTCCTCTTTTGATCTAGAAAGAAGGAAGAATAGCAGCAAAGATGTAAAAAACTTGTCATAGATTGGCAAGCTTCTGACAGTCACATTGCTTCATGTGACTGTCTTTCAGAGGGGCAGGAGGGATTATCTCAACCATATCTTTGTAGCCCATACACCCTTTGTCTTCTTCCCAGAGTTGTATAGAGTCATTTGTGGAGCAGAGGACACTGCCACATGGAGTACATAAAGAGCTTCCTGCAGCAGATCTGAAGAATATAGCAGTCCCATTTCTTTGATTTGCACCCTGATTTGCATGAGAATTTCAAACCAGTATTAACATCCTTCTGGAGGAGGTGTTCCAGGACTTGCGGAAAAACTAGTCTAGGAGAGGGTACCATACTTACTTCTGTTGGTAAAACAATTTTCAGATGAGGAAAAGTCTGGAGGAAAGTCCTGCAGGGCATTTACATCATCTGTGGATCTGTCAATCATGCTGCTTCAACCAAGGAGGAGAGGAAAACTGAAGGTCACAATTGCCAAGGTTCAAACCTCTAGACAGTAATTGTTCTTGAGCAGTGTAAATACAGGGAAAGGAAAAGGACTGTGCACTGCAGAGTTAGTTATCTGCTTGTCTTCAGTGCTAAACGAGGGAAGAGATGGCAAGTCATAAGCCTTGCTTTTCACCCCGTGTCTCCCTGCTTTTGCCAAAGTTTGTGGTGTATGCTGAAATGGTGTGCTTAAGGCCACTGTCTTACAATTTAATACATTATGCAATTAATTTCCTGAGTTTTGGATTTCAGATTTAAGATTAAAGATGGAAAAGGTCAATCACGACACGCACACTTTTTTCCCTGGATATATGTGCATAAAAGAACAGAATTTTTCTGAGATTTCAGAAATCTTGTTCTATTAGTATCTTCCCCCTCTCTTCATGATTGATAGGTTAAATGTGTATTGTGTGTGCATTTAAAACCTCTGGGTTCTCTTTGATAATCCCAGTCATATCTGCATGCAGTTTGTGTAATGGGTCTGTGACCTCACTTGTGCCTTTTGTAGCTCATCTTTGAGATGAACTCAGCTTTCACCAAGAGTGAGGAAATAAGTACAAAATGGACTCTGCAGTCTCCTTTCTAAGTGTTCACATGAAGCACTCAACCAAGGTACTGATGTCATACATCTGAATTAGGAGATAGAGCAGAAAAGGTTCAAATGTACTATAGGTAGGATGGGCCAGTATCTTCTGTGTCAAGTTCAAAGAAGGCCAAGATGCTTAGGAAGGATGTGAAATCTAAAAAAAGAAAAGCAGCAGTGTCTGTTGCCTTCAGGGAACAAATCAAAAGTAGCTTAAGATGACATAGAGACTCGAAAACTTCATATAAAGAACTCATGGAAGTAGTATAATGTTAAGAGTAACAGGTTTGACTTCATGGTACCTAAACGTGTAAGTCTCAAAATGAAGATACAAATCTTCTTAGATGGGACTGAGGGAATTATTCAAAGTGTACAAGATCTGCATATTAACTGCATTTGTAAATCATCCAGACTCTCAGTGTTGCAGTGCCTGGGGTCTGTTACTCAGATTCAATGCTTGTGGATCTGAGAGGGGAAATTTTTATTGCAGGAACCTCTTGCAGCTGCTGTGAAAAGAGTTCATAGGAAGGAGCACAGATGAGTGATCATCACACAACTCCAGTTCCAGGGTCTGTTGTGTTCCCCTGGCAAATCATCCCCTCTTTCTTTCCAGTGGTGGGGTTACTTCTGTAGGTAGGATCAGTGCACAAGTAGGCAGAATAGCTTTGTAGCTTCTACTCTTTGTAGATTGCCTCGGGAGAGGCCATCCTTGAATAAATTTTAGTTGTGACCCTCGTGTGCCTCTGGTAATGCCAGCAACATACTTAACCTGGTTGGGGTAGAGGTCTTGTTGATCTTCCCTTCACTTTGTTCCACTTTACGTGTATTGATATGGTCATCTTGACTGTTTCTTCTGGATCCAAGGCTGTATCCTTTGCAAAAGAATGAAGAGAGAGAGTAATTAACAGCCGAAGAATCGATGAATTCTCCATAGTGGAGCACAGCAAATCCCAAAGTGTCAGGAAGTGAATTTTGAATTTGAAATAGATACCCTGTGATAATGGGTTAGCAAGAACAATCTCATCCAGATGAATAGAGAGAAATTGCTTTGTGTCACTGGAGGGGCTTGGCAGCAATGCACGATTCACAGGGTGTTACTTATATCTTTGTATTCTGTGGCTGGAACTCTTCAAAATAAACTGTGAAACATCAAGGAACTTGTTGGAGATCAAGGAAAGAAATTGCTTGATCTCAGCTGCAGTACTGATAAAACATTTTACATTTTGTATGTGGAGAATTGCTCTCATTATTTATCTGTCTGAAGTTCTCTTGGTACAAATGAGTGTTCCTGCCGCTCACGGATTTCCGAGGCCATCTTCTGCATGAGGAGTCTCCAGGCTGCAGTGCAGCTTTTTTTCTCTGCCACAGCCTGAAAGACAGAAATAGCAAGTTTGCTCTGAAGCAGAGAAATAGGTGTTCTAGGAGTCAAAAGATGGGTGGTGATTTAAGCCATGCTTGCAAGGATACGAACCAGATCTCTGTGCCTAATTTTTTCTTGTTAGGAGGACAGTGCCAATGAATATTTCCCAGATGATGTTCTACCAAATAGTGAAAAAGAATCTTTTCCAGGAGAACCGAATATAATAGAAATGAAAATGTCTTATTTGAAGTGACCTATTTAACAAAGACCAACATATTTGAAAATCAGCAATGGTGTTTCTCTCAGAATGCTTGTTTCTCTTAAAATACGGCCTATGCATTATGCATTATATTTGTGGGATTTGTATCTCTGCTTATGCTCAATATGTCCATATTAAATTTTACAGATAAGGAAAACAGTTTGGTTTTTTTTAAATAATTTTATGATTATTTAAACAAGTCTTTGTGCATACCTGTAAACACTGAAGTCTTTAGAGGGCATTTTTAGCTTGTAGTAAGACAGTATTTATGAAAGTGTGATCCTATTAATAGCTTACAAGTCTGGCCACATGTGGGATCTGACATACCGTGTTCCCAGGAAATAACTTTAAACGCTATGTTGTGCTTTTAAGTTTTTTCCTAAAAATAACTCAGGGAGTTGTAGGCAATCAGTAAAATTAGCATCTAACTACTTAATATTGTACTTTAAAAATACATTTAGAAAAATAAACAAAAATGTTACAAGTAAACATAACATATGGTTCTTTTTTTAATCTCTACTTTAGGACGACGTAGACAGTCTAAACCCAGTTCTCAGGGATAACCCGCAGTTACATGAGGAGGTAAAAGCCTGGGTAAAGGAACAAAAGGTTCAGGAGATTTTTATGCAAGGTAATTATGTGGGAAATTGTGTTATTTATATTCTGTGTTAGCTAGTTAAAGGCCATTACTTGTGTGGGACTCATCCCATTGCATTTGTGATATAATGGAGAATATATTTCTAACTTGAAAATTATTTTTTGGAAGTATTTGTTAATACAAGAAAACAAGACTGTGTAAGAAGCTTGTTGGTGACTGCTTCAGACTGTTCTTAACTTGTTTGATGTTTTACTGTTTACAGCAAAAGCTGAATATCATTAGTCTGAACATAGATATTTTATAAAGTTTGTTTTGGAAATAGTGTGTATGAATGGCAACCACACACATTTTGGCATGTTTAAAACTGTTCTGTACTCTGTAGTGTTATTGTTATGTGTGATAACTTCTCAGATACCTGTCTGCGCTTGTAGTTCTTCACAGTTCTGTCACAGATGAAGAATACTTTCAGATCCCCATCCCACATCCTCACCCCCTGACTGAAAAGTGCCTTTCAAATCACGATTTTGTAACTCGAGTCTAATGCTGGAAGGTTGCAACAAATGCTGTATACGAGAATATTTAAACTGTAGATACAAGTTAGAAGAAAACTAATATGAGTTAGGAGAAATAATTTTGGTTCCACCTTGCTGATAATGAAAATACTATTGCATTGGCAATATATTCATTAACTTTCAGGCAGCTCTTCAGAGGCATTCCTAAAATTGGAGGCAGAAACTATCCTTTGCAGTCTGGGCTAAAATCCCTAGGCAAACAGTAAAGCAGTTTCAGAACAAAAATGCTTAAGCAGTCATTTTATAAATGAAGATTGGGAGGGAAGCAGTAAATAATCAGATAATCAGATAATTTGAGGATGGTTCTGAGGTTTTCTTGCTGTCTGGTTTCTTTGATAAAACTAAGATCAGAAGACCAAAGGAATATGGTAAGTTTATTATTGAAGTTCCAGTAAAAAACTTTTCCTTCTGCGGAGTTTCTAATTTGACTAGATGTGATTATTCTTACGGGCCACGGAAAAAGGATGCTGAAAAAGCAGCATGTGGAACTGTGTATAATAAGTTCGTATGTTGGTGTTAGTCATTTTAGATTTTACTTTGATATTTTCAGATGCAACACAAGTTAGTAATCTGTTGATGAAATTTGCAGCCAAAACTGGATTGAGAGGTCATGCGAAATCGATTAGGAGGGCTATATGAAATGGAAACTAAACTTGAGCTTGTTAACTGTATTTCATTAGAGTAACAATAATAAGACAGTTATAAAGGGCTCTGTTACACTGGTACAGAATCAATTCTTGAGCAAAACCCCAGCAATATTGAAATTATCATTTAAATGAGACTGCAAGCCCACCATCCACACAACTCATTTACTTCCCATCGTTCCAGGAACTGTATTTTTGTCTTTATCTGTATAATTTCTCAAACAGATGTTCCTGTGCTTAGAAGTGCCCAAATGCAGAGTATCTTGAGATGAATCTAATCCAAACATCCCTGCAGAGCAGTTTCCCTCATCTCAGGAGAAGCTGCAGTTCAAATGCACTTGCTCCCCTAGTGTGATATGTGACCTGAGGAGACACGCGCTCCCTGGGGCAGTGACGTGCCAGCCACGAGGCCCTTGGCAGTGCCACCACCTCCGCTCCAGGGGGTGTTGGTCAGGCAGCAGGGACTGTTGTCACATTCTCCCAGGACATAATCTGCTCCTGGTCATGGAGACTTTGCATTTGGCACAGCCCTTGCGGTGGCTCACAGACAGCCCTCTGGCAGTGCCAGCTGCTGTGATCTACTCCTGTTATCCTTCTCTTCTCCTCCCCTCTCTTGTATGGTTTGCTTCACCTTCTCCATTATTACCATTTTCTTGTTCCCTGCAATTTAAACGTTTTCAGTTCTGCCTTGTCTAGACACATCTGTTAAGGTTATTACCATATTCTCTTACTTCATCCTCTACAACATCTTTAGCCTTTTCCTTGTTGTCTGTCATGCTGAGACCTTCATGTCATAACTTAGTATTTTCTACTTTGACTATCACAGTTAAAATGCAGTTTATCTGAAGAAAGAGGAGGGTTGGATAAAACCATTAAAATCGGATTCCAAATGTTTGAAAAGAAACATACCAGTTTGAGGAGGGAGAATTTTAGTCGAAACCGATCCAATTATTTACAAGAATGAGACTAATGTAAAAAATTGGCCCATATATAACCTTTCCTTTGGGCAGCAGTCACAGCAGCATGCTTTGCAGTAGAGATTGTAGCTTTGGCAGGAAAGTAGTTTATTCCTTGTTTCAAAAAAAACCCCAGACTCCTCCCAGACTTGGCCAGGTTGAAAGCTTTTGAGACAAATAAAACCAGTTCGGGGAACATAGTGAAGTGTCTTTGATTTTTAACAATTAAAATATTTGATTTTTTTTCTTCCGATTAGATTTATCATCACTACAATCTCAGGCTGAGTGTATAATAATCCTCTCGAAACACTGAGTGTGCTTCAACCCTGAACATATTTCCTCATAGTACTGCTCAGGGTCTTTCAACAATGTGTAGCTAAGCGTGATTCAGCCAGGGACTGGAAACAAAGCCAGGCTTTTCCTGTAATGGCTGCTTGTGGCTGGGCTGGGCTGGAGCTGAGCTGGCCTGTGTCGTGTGACTGCAGTTTAATCTTTCTCCTTCTTCCTGTCACCCCAGCAGCACGTAAGAAAAAACCCCAACCCTCTGTTCTTAAAAGGTAGATAAAGTCACTTTTAAAAATAGATAGGATAACAGCTGGGATGAAGGACAGACAGAGATTAGAACAAGGAGTAAGAGGAAAGAAATTGGCACTGGGTCAGTGCAGAGAAGTAGGAGAAGCTGGAATCTGTTGGAGAAGGAAGGATGGAGCTTGTAAGCTGAGAAGATTGGGAAAGGACTTTGAAGCCAAGGGCCTGGAATCTTAAATGCTAAAATGAGACAAGAAGCTGGGGAGAGGCTGGTTCTGGTTATACAAGAGACTGAAAATCATTGTGCAGTTAGCAGTAGGATGCAAGAGAGGAGGAGCTGGGATAGGAAATTAGGAATGGCAAATCTGCACAGAGACAGAGGCAACATTTTACTGAGACTGTCTGAATAAGACAGAGCTTTGGGACAGCCATTAAAAGTTCAAGATGTGGAGAGTGTGGATGGGTCAGGCAGCCAGAAGTGTGGGAGCTGAACTGAAGGCATTTTGCAGGGGCATATGGAGTAAGGGTTGGAGAGAAGCCATCAGGAAGTGTGTCCCCACGGGAACCCCGTCTGGTCCAAGACCAGGAATGTGAGACGTAAGCTTGTAGATTCTTCCTCTTTTTCCTGCCCATACGTTTGTGTGATTGGCAGTGCCTGTGCTGGCACATTTCTGTGCAGCTGAGTGTGTGGAGAAACACTCCAGGGGCAGCTCAGGGGGTTCAGGTCTCGAGATTTCATCTGTGCCGTGAGTGATGCGGATGGTGGTGAGAAGGGTGTTTCTGTTCCCAGCTAGTTTTAAAACCTAGACAATCACATGCAAAAGGTATTTCAGAAGGCCTCGCTGAGGTTCCAAAATTAAACCCTAAGACCGCTTGGAAATGGCTAAATTATTACTACTTTTGCACTTTTCTTGATCTCTCAAATGTTGACATTAAAAACAGTCTTTATGTCACACACAGTCATGTGCAGAGGGTATACTGGACCCAGTTGTGTGAACGTGGCTAATTTTTACCAGAGAAAGCTGTCACCTGCGAGGTCCCTGGCCTGTTTGCTGCAGATGTTTGAGCTTGCTTAATGTACTGGGCAGGGCTTGGAAAAAATGATCGTTAGGAAAGACAGGGGAATTCTGGCCTTGCCTGTGTGGTTCAGCAGCTAAGCACTCTTAAATCATTTAAGCTAGGCTGTTTGTAGGTTGTTACTGATTGGTTTTGCTTCCCTTCCTGTGTGCCTGGGGTTTGGTTGCAGAAGTTGCAAAACCCACGTAGCTGGAACTGAACTCAGTGGCAGGGTTTCTTGGTCATACAAAATGCTGTATAAACATCAAGTGTGATGAAGCTTAGGGTCCCAGTGATCAAATGAGACACTGAACATGAATAAAATTGTTGCATCTCAATTTCTGTGTCTTGAAACAGACTCCAAAGTAGGTACTGTATCATACTACTTACGTATGCCTGTTGGGCATTTGGAGGTGAATTAAACAGACCTTTGCAAAGTGTGTGAGGTTTCTTTGTGTTTGATATGTCTGAAAACAGGAGCTGAAGTCTTTCATACCGTGTGTGCTTGAGTGTTCCATGTGGCCATAGCAGGCACGGGATCACTCGACTGCCTTCCTGCCTGCTGTAATGGAGAGAAACTCTGTGGTCACTTATGGGAAAGACTTGGCAGATGCAGAGCCTAACCACCAAGATGTAAATCTTTTCACCAGCAAAGTGGCTGGGCATGTGACTAGCCTGTTAAATAGCTTCTGTATAACCTGCTGCTGCCACTTTCTAGCCTTTCAGATTACTTTTCTGTGGTTGCTGTTTGTAGGCAGGAGTTTTCCCATCATGTGTCATCATGGTTGCAGAAAGATTTAGTTAAGATAAGAAAACTGTATGTTGAAAATGTTAGCTGAATTGACCTTAAAGCATACTTGTATGTACCATTTACATTTCAAAATGTCTTCCTAAATCAAGTAAAATCCACAGGCAGTGATGTACCAAAATTGGCTGTGGTTTACTTCCCGTGCCATGCGCACTGTATGTTTGCTGTGAAGTTTAAAAAACAAAACAGGCAGGAAACCCATGTATGCCTTCCCCCTCCCCCCACCTCCTTAATTCCTCAATGGCTTTTTTATTTCTTCCTCTTCCAAAGGTCCGTACTCCTTAAATGGTTATAGGGTGAGAGTGTACAGACAGGATTCTGCCACCCAGTGGTTCACTGGCATCATCACTCACCATGATCTCTTCACGCGCACTATGGTTGTTATGAATGACCAGGTGAGTTTGGTAGATGATACCCAGAAAACAAGCTACGAGCAAACTGCGCATGGGGAGGTCTGAATTTCTGCTGCTGGTACTCAGAAACACACGGAGTTGTTTGGTTCCAGCAGGGTGAGGGTGTCACTGCACTGAAACTGCAGCACAACTGCACTGGGCCAGCGGTTAAACCCTCCTGGAGCTGAGTGCTTGTGCAGTGATATGGTTAATACCAGTCCTACAGTTTCTTCTGCTATTACTACTTGACTAGGGAAGTCTTTGAAGTGAAGCAATCTGGTTTTAAGAACTGGTCTTCCCTGTCAGTTCTGTTGGGAATTTCTTTCTCAACAATGAAATCTTTTAGCACTGCAGTAATAATTACTTTTTCCAAGTAATTGAACTAGCCGCTTTCCGCAATTTGTTGAATTAAGCGTTTACTACAGCCCTAATTTATATTTAGTGTGGGAGGTTTTCGTTTTATTTCCGATTTTGATGTTACGAAAAGAATTAATACTGGTGTTTTAGTGGCAGTAATGAATTCTGTTTCAGGAGAGTGGAGTAATGGCTCTACATTCATACTACTACTCAGTGGTAATATACAGAATGACCTGTCTGCCTTGAAATGACTGACATAATCATGTGTGACAATAAAAACTTAAGGCTAGTCTAGTACCTTCTTTCCCTTAATTCTCTCTAACTGATTTTCCCCACGTGCTATCTTTTCACTTTGTGCCACATTCTTTGAAGATCTGGTTAGCATTTCATACTTTATGATCTCCCTCACTTGTGTAACACTAGTCTTTAGAGTTTTTGTCTCCAGTCGTTTTGGTTCCCTTCTTGCAGCAGTTTTGCTTCTGTTGGAGGCAATACTGTAATGTGCTTTTGCAATATAATTTATAGTATATGAAATAAATTTTATAAAATGCTTCTATATCATAATTACTACTTAGGTGTTATTCTGTGAATAACTCAGTTTCATCTCAAATTTGCAGGTCAGGGAAGGGAGGGAAGGAAGTGGTGGTGGAGTCCTTTTTCTTTAAAAAAAAAAAAGTTGCAGTGATAAGTAAAGACACATTTGCTTTAGTTTGACACTGTTCCCAGCCTTTGTTGTGTCATATGTCAGTTCTGCTTGTCAGGATTAAGTAGGCTTTTCTCTGATTAGTCTTTAGCACACAAAATAGACTGGTGAACATTGATACAGAAAATACAGATTGGGCATTGTCTGAACATCTGCTGATTGTTATTTTCTCTCTCTCTCTCTCTCTTTCTTTTTTTCTTCACAAACCAGGTGTTAGAACCTCAGAATGTTGATCCTTCTATGGTTCAGATGACCTTTCTAGATGATGTTGTTCACTCTTTGTTGAAAGGTGAAAATATTGGCATCACTTCACGCCGACGGTCTCGTTCCAACCAGAACAGCAACACAGTTCACGTAGATACATTTATCTTTTTACCTAAGTATTTTTGTATATTGAGAATGTTAAAAATACATGTTTAAAGACACTTAATTAACATTGCATTTTTAAGTCCATTAATCACAAATTATTTTTAGGGTCATTATACACGTGCACAAGCAAATAGTCCCAGACCAGCAATGAATTCCCAAACTGCAGCACCAAAACAGAATTCTCACCAGCACCAGCAACAGAGGAATACTCGACCAAATAAGAGGAAAGGCTCTGATAGCAGCATGCCTGATGAAGAGAAGATGAAAGACGAAAGATACGATTATATAGGTCGCGGAGGTAAAAGCAGTTAATGGAAAGGGAGGGAGAGCTTCTTAAAACTGTGTTAGGCTGAAAATGTGATAGACATGTTTTTATCTTTTACAGAAAACCCCAAAACCAAAAATAAACACTTTCTTAACAAAAGAAGGAAACCTGAAGAGGATGAAAAAAAGTTAAATATGAAGAGACTGCGGACAGACAATATCTCAGATTATTCTGAAAGCAGTGACTCGGAAATTTCAAATAAAAGATTAACAGATTCATCCTCAGAGCAAAATTCAGAAAATGAGTTAAAAAGCAAGAAAACTTCAAAGATAAATGGGGAAGAAGGAAAATCTCAACCTACTGAGGGTGTAGAACAGACACTAACGGATAGACGGTCTCCTTGGGATGAAGTACAGGAGGATAAAAACCATGAAGAGGCAGAAAGGCTGAAGTCATCAGTCTTGGATCAGCAGGAAAAATCTTCACTCCATGCAGGAGAGCAGCCAACACCTTACGAGCAGAATGCCAAGGATGCACATGCTCTAGAGTGTAATGCAGAAAAACATCATACTGCGGAGTTAAAAAATGAGCAGTTTTTACCCAGACCTCCTACTCCAAAGTGTGTTGTTGACGTTACTAATAAAAACAACTCTGAAAAGGAGAACCAGGATAATGCTGCAAGTACCTTTGGTTTGCAAACGGTTCAGAAAATAGAATCTCACAGCAGTGATTTAAAACAGCAGTTTGCAAATGCAAATTTCCTTGAAGCAAGAAAGCAGGAAGCTGATCAGAGTTGGGTTAGCAGTGTTGTTAAAACGGATTTGATACAACCTGGGGTTGTAAAAGCATTGCCAGTAAATGAACACTTAAATTCTGAAAAAGAGAAAGTGCAGTATGGCTCGTTTGTGTCTTCGTTAAATGTAGCTTCTCTAGCAGAAGAGAGTAAACTGCGTAAACAAAGTCCAGCCCCCGATTCTGTGAAGTCAAAATCTAGTGCTTCAGTTGATCATCCTAAAACAAAGTCACCTGATGTTAAGCCTAAATTCACCCAATCTTCCGATACTGTGAAGTCTAAGGTTAGTTCCCAAAACAGCCATGCTACTGGATTAACAAGGTCAGCCAGTAAAACTGATCATGATTTGCCTAGGTCTAGTTTTCATCCAGTTCCAGCTAGAGTTAGTGCTCTAGAAGCTACTAAAAGTCCTCTTATCATTGACAAGAATGAACATTTCACAGTGTACAGGGACCCCACTCTGATTGGACAAGAAACAGGAACTAATCACATTTCACCTTATTTGCATCAACATAATTATCCTCTGCATTCCTCATCCCACCGAACCTGTTTAAATCCAAATGCTCATCATCCTACATTAACTGGTTCATCCCATCTGCTCGCTGGGTCTTCAGCTCAGGCTCCCTTGTCCGCTATTAACACTCACCCCCTTAGTAGCGCCTCCCACCATTCCGTCCATCACCCTCATCTGCTCCCCGCAGTGTTGCCCGGAGTGCCTGCTGCCTCCTTGCTGGGTGCCCACCCGCGACTAGAGACTGCTCATGCCAGCAGCTTAAGCCATTTGGCATTAGCGCACCAGCAGCAGCAACAGATGTTACAACACCAGTCTCCACATCTTCTCGGACAAGCTCATCCTTCTGCTTCCTATAATCAGCTAGGGCTTTATCCAATTATTTGGCAGTATCCAAACGGAACACATGCTTACTCAGGACTCGGTCTACCCTCCTCCAAATGGGTCCACCCAGAAACTCCTGTTAACACGGAGGCTTCCTTGAGAAGGGTAAGTTGAGATCTTTTCTTGATGATGTATTTAGCTGGGCCTGGTGTCTCCCACATGTGGTAGTTTGCGTCACACCAAGTGTACTGTCATGGTGGGTTTTTTGAGTAGGCAGAGAGCTGGGAATGGAACTCCAGCAGTAACTGTTGTCTCAGGGTGGATATGAGCAGGGACTTTTCCCACACCTTGATTTCCGAAGACTTCTAAAGAAAGAGGAAATGTTTGATTTTAGATCATGAGCAGGTGAGGTCAACCAGCTAGTTTGGGACCTCAGGTTCACTGGGTATATATTTGCTACTTCAAACTGTGTAAACCATTGTGTAAGTGAAACACTAGGAGAGGTAAGACAGTTGTCTTCATAGTGAAATTTTGTGTATGCTCCCGAAGTAGTGGCAAAAGACTGAGGCAGAAGTTCTGAAGAGTAACCCTCTAGCATTTATAAATCTTTCTTGCACTTTACACCCGCTTCTCTTGTCTTTACACCTATCTGTGTACCCTCTCCTAGCGTATCTTTTTCTCCCCTTCTGTTCCTGTTGACATACATCCCTGCCTTCCCATCTGTTTTCTACTCTTCTGTATTCAAGTCAGGGTGATTCCTCTGTCTGTTTGCTGAGTACAGCCACTGAAGTCTCAGAAGACATGGTTTGTGTTTTTCAGCCTCTCGCCCAGTGCGGCGGCGGGGTTTGGCAGGCAGACGTGGCAATTACAGGAAAAGTTTTCTCAGCTCCTGCAGTCTTGGGATATGGCATGCTCATTGCAGGCACCTCAGAGAAATAGTGTAAGATGAAGCATGTGTAGTGCAGACAGAAACTTTGGAGAGCTTTACTGCCAGCTTCAATCAAATCTCCACTGAGCATGTGCACGCTGATCATCAGAGGCTTACAACTTGGCCTAATTTGGGCAGATTTTCACAGGGACCACAAAAGGCATGTCGCTGACAGTGGTCCTTCTGCCAAATTGTAAGCCTTTGTGGCAAAGCTTGGAGTTCCTGAATGGTTATAAAGACTTTTTTATTTTTCATCATGGGGAAAGCTATTCTTCCCCATACTTATTCTTGAGAAAAAAGCCAAACCATTGTGGCTAAGTCTTTCCCAAAACAGTCAGTTTGAGTTGGCCTTGTAATATGAAGTAGGTTTGATCTAAAATGTGATAAAGTCAAATGCAGCAGAGACAAAAAGCCTTAGAGAAAACTATAGGTGGATTTATCTTTTCATGTTGCTGCCTGCTCCACCCCATACTAAAGTCCATTTTAAAGAACTTATGATAGACGTTGTTTTCATTTTGGCTACCTGAAGTATGCAGCCTTGCATACCGAGGCACGTAGCTTTTTAATTATGTTGATATGTGGCAATTGTCTTGTGGTGACTTGTCTCCTGGCTCTTGCACTGGAGGCCTTTTTTAAATAGCTCTTAGAAACCCAGAATGGGCGTTTCTGAGGTTGGTTTGCATGGATGCCACAATCACAGAAAGGGATCTGTGTTTCAGCTGTAAGAGCAGCAGCAGCAGCCACCCTTGGCTCAGGGCTGAACCGTGTCTGTGAGCTGAGGGAAGTGTGCCCCAAGCCCACCTTTCTCCACGGGTGGCTGTGGCAGCTCCTACCTTTGGGCTGGGCCATAGATGGTGCAGGTGGAGTCACAAAGCTGTTTGAGCAATGCTTGGTGCTCAGGCAGATGTTCTCCGGCTCCTCTAGGGAGAAGGTGACAGTCCTTCTTTGCATAATACTTTAATGCAGCTTACAGGCTGTTCGTGGGAACACCACAGCGTGGGAACTCCTGGCCCAGGAAACGTGTGCACTAAAACTGTTCGCACAAACCCAAGCGGTTGCTTAAATATTCAAAAATACAGAAATCAGAACTTCAAAGTTCTGCACCTGCAGATCTATCCTGTGCTGTGTGCGTGTGTCATGAGAGCTCTTGGCTCTCCTTCTGCTGCAGCAGTTCCCGACTGGGAGTTGCCAAGTCTGGGGAGAAGGAGGGGGACGGACTGGTGAGGATGGAGCAGCACCAAGATGCTTTGGGGTGCACATGAAAGCGCTACTCACTCTTGTCCCAGTCCCCCTTCTTGGCTTGTCCCCAGCACATGAGTCCCACTTGGACAGGGTGCCCTGCTTTTCCACACTGCTGCACACACTTCTCCTAAGCAGAAGAGGGAGGGAAAGGGGAGAGACAGAGAGCTGCTCTCGGTCTTTCCTGCAGGCTCTTAGACAACTTTGAGAGAAGAAAGAGAACCTTAACAAAGTAGTAGATTAAAAAAACGTTTCATAAATTAAGACTTAGTACTGTGTGTGTACACAAGGAGGTTGGTTTTGCCCACCTTGGGAGTATTTAGGTACAGAGCACAAACTTGTGTGTACCATGTCTTTACCACGCTGCAGAGTGTGGCAGGTGTGTACATTTATGATTTAGTAGTGTGATGGTGATTGTCATACCAAATAAAAATGCCTGGCTAAATAAAGCAGATTAATTAGGATAATCATAATCATTTGGCTGGGGGGAGGAAAGAAACATCCAGGAAGGAGTTACTTATAGCCCTTATATTGAGATTTGTCATAAAGCTGCAGATGAAGTTATCTGCTTGAAATATTAAGCCATATTTGTATCTTCAAAGAAATACTTCTTGCAATTCATTGAAGCAGTTGTGGTCTTCTTACTAATAACTGAACTTAAGTGTTGTCAGGCTGTCACTGGTTTGTTAATTTTGATGAACTTGAGATGCTGTTCTAGAATTAACTGTTCATCCTGAGTACTTGAAAATTAAATGGTTCTAAGAACGCTTCTGAAATGTATAAACTGTTTTGTATGCTGCGAGTCCAGAGGGAGTACAATTGTGTGTTCCAGTTGATCAAAAAAGTGACTTAAATGTTAGATTTTATTTACTAGGTATGATTTCATACTGAAATCCATTATTTCACTCTGATCTTTGTGTAGGACTTGATGCAGTGACCCTTGTGGTCCCATGATTATTTTGAAATGTGATTTTATTTTTTGTTTTGGTTGGTGTTAACAGAATACTCCCAGCCCCTGGTTACACCAGCCCACCCCAGTGACCTCAGCTGACAGCCTTGGTTTACTCAGTCACATTCCCGTGCGACCGTCCAGCGCAGATCCCCTGCGGCCTCTCAAACTGACAACACATTCCAGCCCTCCGTTGTCCAAAAGTATCGCAGAGCATCGCAAAGAGTGAGTTTGCTGTTGAACTCGGTGTGAGAGGGTACATTTCAGCGGGTGGTGTTGCCTTCAAGCTTCCTTTTTAGTTTGTTTGTAGACATGGATGGAGACAGGCTTGTCTGTGTGCTGCCCTGTTGACTTGTAATGGCACTGCAGTTCATGGGCCATCACAAGACTTTTGAAAATTGTACCTTATATAAAGAAAAAGTGGGGTTTTGTGTTAATAGGTAACTTTGTTCGGGCACGGGAAGAAAGGTCTTCAGTCTGGCACATTGCACTGCATTCAGACTGACCTGTGTTTGCTTAACCTTTTCAAACAGAGAACTGGAGAGGAAGGCGTTTGTTGAACCTTTGCGTTCTGTTCCCACTGCACCAGTAAAGACTGAACTAGAGCAGAGTAGAACGCAGGCAGCAAAGGAGAGCCATATGCACAGACATTTTGCAGATCCAATGTTGAACCAGCTGCCAAGGCCACCACAGGAGACTGGGGAACGACTGAGCAAATACAAAGAAGAGCACAGACGGATACTCCAAGAAAGTATTGAAGTTGCTCCTTTCACAGCTAAAATAAAGGTGCTGGAGGGAGAGAGAGAGAACTACTCCAGGGTAACGTCGTTATCTTCAAGTCCCAAAAGCCATTCGGTGAAATATGACAAAGATGCTGAACGCTCTGTGTCAGAACTCTATAAAATGAAGCATTCGGTGCCACAGAGTTTGCCACAGAGTAACTATTTCACCACCTTGTCTAACAGTGTAGTAAATGAACCTCCAAGATCATACCCATCAAAGGAAGCTTCAGGGGCATATGTTGATAAGCAGACTAATTGTCCTTCAACAGCAGCTAGTCCCCAGGCTCTCCCCTCTTACATTTCTTCTCTTTCAAAACCTCCACCTTTAATTAAGCACCAACCAGAGAGCGAAGGCTCTACAAGCAAGGTACCCGAACAGCTTTCACAGTCAGTGCAGTCTCACTCTGTAAATTCTTTCAGAAGCGAGAGCAGAAGCCCTACTCAGTTGTCAGTCTCATCCTCAAATACACTCCGGAGCATGCCTGCCTTGCACAGAGCCCCCGTGTTCCACCCTCCTGTGCACCAGCACCTGGAGAAGAAGGAAAGCAGCTATAGCAGCCTTTCGCCTCCAACTCTAACCCCTGTTCAACCCGTTAATGCTGGTGGTGGTGGCAAAATACAGGAGATGCAGAAACCACCTACTTTAGTACCTGAGCCCAAGGAAGCTCAGAGTGTTTACAAGGGCACTTCTGAACAGAACGTATCAGAAATGTGGAAGTCTAATAATGCCCCAAATAACGAGAAAGGGGATTGGCACGCTGAAAGAATGAGTGGAAAGTCGCAGTCTGCTACGGCATCTGTTATTGTGCGTCCTCCTTCTAGCACGAAGTACGACAGTGTAGCAGTAGTGCAGCCTGTTTCCAAAGATCGAGCTGGTGAGAGATCTTCAGCTGTGACAAATCAAGCAGATTGCCTGAAAACAGCGGAAGCCAGGGAGACTGGAAGAGTCATTCTGCCAAATATGAACTCAGACAGTGCTCGCACACAGTATGAAAAGAAATTTCCAGCTGTCTCGCAAGGCAGCATTCCTCGTGCCGCCACCCCCACCACAACGATCATCTGCAGTACCAAAACGGATGTCACTGCATCAGCAGCAACCACGACGAGCGTGTCGAGCCGGGGCAGCTCAGAAGTGACTTACTCCTTATCGAGCACGGTCCTGGCGTGCACAATGCTGGAGTGCCCGACCTCCAGAGCCGGGAGTCAGGCGGTGGCGCAGGCCCAGGAATGCAAGGTCAGCACTCCAGCTCCAGTTACACCCGCTGCTGGCAGCACAGGCAGCATTGCTCAGCCCAGCTCGGGATTCTCCACCTCCACCGACTTTGTCCATTTGAAAAAGCACAAGGCAGCGTTGGCTGCAGCTCAGTTTAAAAGTAGTAACAGCAGTGAGGCCGAGTCCAACTCTGTGAAAAATCAGACATTTTCAACCTCTCTCTCCCTAGACAGTGGTATCGTCTGTAATACAGTAAACAAAGCGAACTCTGTAGGCAGTGGGCAAACTTCCCAGACGAGTCAGCCAAACTACCACACTAAACTGAAAAAGGCTTGGCTAACAAGGCATTCGGAGGAAGATAAAAACACTAATAAAAAAGAGAATTCAGGGAACAGTGTTTCAGAAATTATTAAGCCATGTACTGTCAATTTAATAGCTTCTACATCAAATGATTTGCAAAATAACATAGACAGCAAAATCTTGGCAGATAAGTTTGCAAAGGAAGAGAAGCACCCAAGGAGAAAAGGAAAACGAACTTACGAGTCTGGCTCTGAAAGCGGTGACTCTGATGAAAGCGAGAGCAAGTCAGAGCAAAGGACTAAAAGGCAGCCCAAGCCAACTTACAAAAAGAAACAAAATGATTTGCAGAAAAAAAAGGGTGATACCGAGGAAGAAGTGAAACCGAATGGTGTTCTTAGCAGGAGCGCCAAAGAGAAAAGCAAGCTGAAGTTGCAGAGCAGCAATAACAGCAGTGAGTATATTAATCTGATCTGGAAGACACAGACTAATGTGAAGTCTAGCACTGATAATCCTGGAGGGTTTGTCATGCACGATAGCTGGGAAAAGAGTTAAAAAGCATGCCTGTGTAAATGAGTAGGGCCAGATTTATCTGTCTTGAGGCCATTTGAAATGCCCTGGTGTAAGACATACAGCATTTTGTATCTCTCTGTTAACAAACTGGTTCTTGGCCTAAAAATAAGCAGTAAACAAACTGGTTTATGCCGTCCATCAGAATTGAGCAGTCTGGTGCATATAGTTGTGCCAAGTGGCACAACTATCCATATATATGTATTGAGATACACGTATATGTTGGGGCTTTTTTTATTTTAAGATCTAAAGCCTTTATTTTTAGAGCACTGCTGGAGGGAGAGATTCTCTATTGTTGAGCTTTAATTCATCCTTTAATCAGAAAGCCAGAGGCAGGTCCTTGAGAACCTGATGCCACTCTGTTATGATTTGGTTAATTTAATGAAAGGTTTAAGGGAGCATCATTTCACACTCCTAACTAGCATGTGTAGTACATGGTGTTAACATGTACTCCTTGTTTAAGGAGTAAAGAAATTTAGGGAAATACAAATTTCAATTTAAATGTAGTACTGTAACATGTAGCAGATTGTAAGTAGATTAATCTGAGAAGAGAAACTGGTCTGCCAACATAAGGGATTTTATTTAAGAACTTGCCTTATTTTTTATCTCAATTTATTCTTATCCAAGGACTCTTCTTTTGTCTTTGGTCTGGTTGAGTATGAGAGAGTCTACCATTAAGTTACTTTTCGTACGAATTTTTAAGTACAGGTAGCAAGAAAATGAGTAATGCTGCCTGTAATTACATACATTCTGTTGCTTTTCACTGTCTGGTGTATAAAGTTACTCTTCTGGTATTTGAGAGTACTTGATCCCTAAGCTGTACTGGGTGCTGGAAGTGTTGTAGTCTGTCTGAGGTATTCTGGCTATTGGGTCCAGTGATAGTAGTATTACTTTTCCCCCCCAACCAAAGGGAAGATCAAGGCAAACATGCCTGTAAAATCCTTTTCAGCTTCTTTCTTGTAGTAAACTGTAAACATACACATGTAATGTGTTAGGTCTTTACGACCTTCGTATTGTTGCAAAAGATTTTTTTTTTGTGGTTGTTATAATTTCTGAGAGAGAGCTGGTCAGAGATTCTCCTTCAAAAAGAACTTTCCACAAAGATTTACACAAAAACATAGTCAACCTTGAGGAGCTTTATTGAAAGAAGAGGTTCCTCTGGGATGGCTGCCTGGGCTCTCTGCAGGTGGCTGAAGATAACTAACTGGGCTGCAGGATCTGGGGCTCAGTGGCAGTTTTGCAACACGGGTGGTATCTGGATGCTGCCAGGGTTGAAAACTGCTTTGTCCTGGTGCCGTTTTGGAAAGCCCCAGGAGCTCGTGTGCTAGCCAGAGTGCTCAGAGCTCCAGGCTGGGAGGCTCCCTCCTGCAAAGCAAGGCTTTGCACAGCCCTCCCAGTATTGGGGGTCTTCCAAGTTCCTACCCACAGAGCTTGAAGTGTAGCAGCTCCCAGATGACGCCCAGGATCTCTGCTTCCAAGGCAGGAAACACTGTTTTTGGACTAGTAAACCTGTACTTTGTCGTTTCTACTCTCAAGTTGTAATCCAGTTACTGACATGGCCTGGATGAGTGTGGGCTGCAGTTTGTAGGCCATGAATTGAGGGCACAGGCAGTCTGTCACTTGCAAAGTTTGCACAAGTCATCTCTGGCAAAACACTGATCTGAACCCAGGTCCCAAGTCCAAAGTTAGCACCCTGATCTCTCTGTCATCCTGCATCAGATCCCTGTTTACAGGACATGAACTTCCAGGAGTAGTGGTAGATGAAATGACAGATACTTCTGTCTATCTGCAGATAAGACTGGTGAAATGAAGACTGAAATGAAAGCCTGGTTAAATAACAACAGGGTTCAGTTTCAAATCTTGTATGTGAAAATCACACAGATTACTCAATAGACTTGCTCCTCGTGTTACTCGGTGTCAAATCTGCTGACTTCAGTATCGAAAACAGAATTATACTGCTTAGCCTTGCAAAGCCAACAAACTCCACAGAGAGTAAATGGATTTGTGAATAGTGCTGCTCTTCTCTAATCATATCTGTAACCTTCAGCAAAAATAAGTTTTGAAGAAGCAGGGGTTTGTTTTTTGGGTTTTGGGTTGTTTTTTTCAAGATCTGCTTTTATTCATTAAATTGTTGCCTTTTTTGCCCTCATCTTCCCTTGAAACAGAGTTCAGACTTACCTTTCTTGAGGTATTGTTATTTGCTTGTTTTGTCAGAATGAGATTGTGAAGATGGTTTTAGTGGAATATTTGGTGAATGATGCAGCTAATAAAAGGGAAATGCAGTGTCCTGGGAACTCAGCAGATTCTTAACTGTGCTCCTGCCTACCTCAGTTTAACTGGTACTTTTGCTATTTAACCTGGGTGCTGGCAGGCAGACAAGTGGAAATAATAATGGAATATGTTATGCAGGTAGCAAATGTTGGGCACTGACTGATGTTGACTGGGATCTGTGAGTACCTCACCTGACACTCTCTTGTTTTGCAGCCGGTATACCTCGCTCAGTGTTAAAGGATTGGCGCAAAGTAAAGAAGCTGAAGCAAACAGGAGAGTCCTTTTTGCAGGATGATTCTTGCTCTGAAATAGGACCAAATTTGCAAAAATGCAGAGAATGTAGGTTAATAAGAAGTAAGAAAGGAGAAGAACCCACTCACTCACCAGTATTTTGTAGATTTTACTACTTTCGGCGGTAAGTGCGACTGTTTTCCCAATAATGGGGTATTTTAATTTCTAAAAATAATACAGACAAAGGAATTGCATGCTTGAAGGATGTCTGATTTTTCTGGCTCAGTCAGTCTGCCCAATAAAAGACAGCATCTAATTTAAGAGTATTTACATTTGTATTTCTTATTTCTTTTGTGGATTCGCTTCATTGCTGTTCAGAGCTTTATAGCAAAGACATCAGAACATCTGCCTGGTGTACCTTAGGCAAGCAGAAAATACAGCACATCACCATTACACAGGTGTCTGACATCTGAAGTGGGATTTTCAAAAGGCAAACTTCAGTTTTTCTGGACAAGCTGTGCAACCGCAGAGTTGCACTTATTTGTAATTGTTCTTCTGCCAGTGTATGGTGGGAATGCTGCTTCAGGTTTTCTGGGAGTTTTCTGAGGACAGAGAGGAGTTGTGACCTCCTTTTTCACAATTAATGGCCCATCACGGGAAACTCAGAAGGAAGATTTCCCAGGGTGCAGTGTAGTGCACGTGGTGCAGGCAGCACAGTCATGGGGAAAGTGTGCAACAGCTTTAATTTGCGCACAGACTGTGTTGTCAGTAGATATCCAGCTCATTTTGGACAACAGACTGTTCCCTAGATTGGGTTTGATTTTTTTGTAATGAAACTTTAGTGACAGGACTTGGTGGTAGTCCTACTGGAATCATTTCAAGGTTGGACTCTGAATACCTTCTGTGTGAAGAGTGTTTGCTTCCTAATGTGGCAAAGCTGGAATTTTTGGTGGCTTTTTTGTCCTGTATAAAGGAGAGAACATAAAGTTTTGCCAGCATTTTAAAACACTGTGATGGAATTTAATTTGAACATTTTGACTATATTGTGGTAAATTTTACAGCAGTTTAATGATTTTCATTGTGTAGAGATAGTGGGGCCTGAATTGTAAACAAAGTTTACGCTTCTGTTGGAAGTTGTTGTAACTCAAAGTTCTTCACTTCTTCTTGTTCATTTGAATGCATACCTAAATGTCATTTTTTGGTATTTCTAAATTCAGGACTGTTTTGCTGACATAAATTCTTTAACTATTATAATAATCACATATGTAAAATGATTTACCCTGCTTTGTACAGGATGGAGTAATGAATTGTTACTGCTTTAAAATAAGCTAAATAAGCCAGAGTTAGTGGAATGGTATTGGGCAAGGTTAACAGGAAAGGCTGTACTTATTTTAAGGGTCAGACCTTAGTGGATACAAAAACATTATCTTCTATTAGTTTTCTCAGTTTGAGAACAGTAGGATACAAGAATCTATAAAATATGAGTCAGACTGAATGACTGCTGTTGCAGACACTCCAAAAATTGAAAGTGAGGAGTAGGTGGAACCAAACTTTAACCAAAAAAAGAAAAAAACCCAAATTTTTCTGTCTGAATTTTAAATTAATAATAAGTGTTAGAGAGTAACAGCGATGAGTAAACAAAATGCAAAAAACTGCCTAAAAGGTTAATTGTAGTTTTCAAGGTTCCTTATTGGTCATTTTAAAACCGTTTTCATCAGTAGGCTTTATTTTAAAAATAAAATATATTGTACGATGCTAAAGAAAGTTAAAAAGAACACTTTGGTGTTGTAAGACCTAAACAGCAAGGTGAAGTAAACCAGTAAACTGTAAGTCACAGAATACAATGACACATGCACTTAAACTGTGTCTTTTCATTTTTAGGTTATCTTTTAGTAAGAACGGAGTGGTTAGGATAGATGGTTTCTCCTCTCCTGATCAATATGATGATGAAGCCCTGAGTTTATGGACACATGAAAACTATGATGATGATGAACTGGACCTGGAAACTTCTAAATACATTCTAGATATCATAGGTGATAAATTTTGTCAGTTAGTAACATCTGAGAAGACAGCCATGTCCTGGGTGAAGAAGGACGGTAAGAAGTCTCAGTGCTCTCAAAGTGTAGTGCAGTTTCCCCTGAGTGACCTATTTCTTCCTGTTGAGTAGCTCTTGTTCTCTAGACTGTCCTGTTGGATTTTCCTAGGCTGTTCTTTAAGAGGGCATGGTGGGAAGGGGCAGGTTCCTTCCTCAGGGTCAACCCATTGCAGGGCCAGGGCCAGGCAGCTGTTGGGGTTGGAGCAGCCTCAGTTCCCAGCTTGGCCTCCAGCTCTCCAGCCAGAGCAGGCAGCTCCAAGCCAAGGCCCACCACGAGCCAGGCACTGACTCCTGCCAACAGACAGTGTGTTTCTGATGTATCTCCTTCCCAAAACAAAGGAGAAGGTAGCAGAGCATGTGCTAACGCTGTCACCTCCTCCCCTCCAGAGCCACAGTCCGTCCTTCTGGCCCATGGCAGATGGGCACAGGGTGGAAACAGGCTGGTGACTCTACTAATTCCAGGCAGTATGAGGAGGAAGTGGGGCAGAAAACAGACGTACTGACCAGGTCTCCGGAACAGGCACCTCCCTCCCCTCCTGCCAACTCCAACCATCCAGATCAGCCACTTTGGCTGCCCTTGAGATTAAACATGTCCCGTGGGCACTCAGGAAAAACCCTGAGCTCTCCTGAGCACACGGGGTTGAAAGTATATGCTGAAGAAGTTCTTCATACTTGCAGCAGTATTTTTTCTGTGTGACTTTAGTCTGTGTTTTTTGAATGCTTTATTTCTTCACAGTGTATTGATGGGGAGGCTGTGCAATGAAACATGTTGATGGTCTGTTTATGAAGGATCACTTTCCTCCCCCAACACCCAGTTGTGTCTAGGGGGAAACCTATGAATGCTTCATCTATAAAGCCTATTCATTCTGTGCTTTGCTTTTAAATTTCAGTCCTTTTATTCTGCTTATTTTGTATTTCAGCCAAAATTGCATGGAAGAGAGCAGTGAGAGGAGTCCGTGAGATGTGTGATGCATGTGAAGCCACATTATTTAACATTCATTGGGTCTGCCAAAAATGTGGATTTGTGGTCTGCCTAGATTGTTACAAAGCAAAGGAAAGAAAAAGTTCTAGAGGTCAGTTCTTTATGAACTAGAGTATTGTATAGGCTGTTTATTCTCATTTGTTGCAGAGCTGCTGATCCGCCATAACTGTCTTTCTGTAAAGTGTTAAATTACTGCTTGTGTGTTTTGGTTTCTCTTAGATCTTTTTTTGCCTCTTTTGTCAGTAGGTACAGAATCAGTCATTCAGAAAGCAATTGCTGTGGGGGCTATTTTAGCTCTTTGTCCACAGTTCAGTCTTTTTGCGTGGACTGTTGGAGGTTACTTGTGCCTTGCCCCTCAAGGTTAAATCTTGTTCCTCAGCTGTGAGACCGATGCTCCATTACACTCCCTGCTTTATGGTAACTCATTGCTGCTAAGACTTGCCTTGATTTGAACGCCTTCTGGAGTTCTCCTTCCAGAGGTGCATGTCTTGTCATACTGACTTAACAGCCTGTTGTATAGTTCTATCATAAAAAAGAAAGAGATGGAGAAAAATATTTCTCGTAGTATTTAAAATGAGTGTTAATGGAGGTCTCACCATCCATCAGCCTACACACATACCCAGTTTCATGTAATTCCTGTGCTTTAATGGAAATGTCAAGTTTAGTCCATAGAGAAGTGTAACAGGACTGACTTGCAAACCTCTGATTTCTGGGTGACCCAACCTGGTTGCAATTGCAAAGAGGAACGCTGGGAAGATTGATTTGGTGTTTGAGCCCTGGGCTGACACACTGGTGCTCGGCCTGCTTGGGGGAATGAATTGCCTTCCCCGGGAGGCAGGCACTGTGCCCTGGCACAGCTCTGCGGTCAGACGCTGTGCCAGGAACTGATTCAAGTATAATGCTGTTTGGAAAAGCATTTTCATGTTTGTCATAGCAGTGTAATGTCACAGATGTGAAATGTTAGTAAAATAAAGTTTAACTGTTAGATGGCAAAGCTTTCCTAAGTGGAGAGTCTCACCTACTTTGTCCCTGGCTTGCAGTGAGAAACCCCCTACACTGCAGTTAGAGGATGTTCCCAGAGACGTCCATCGAAGCCTGAAGTTTTTAGGGAACTAATGCCAGTGTTTTCCAGCACTGGGAACAGTTGTTAATGCTTTAATGCTGGAGGCTGCTTCAGCAGCTCTCCACTGGCTTAAGTCTGTGTGTGTGCATCCATCTGACGTGGCTTGGGATGTATGCCGAACATTATTTACCCTGGTGGGAACATGCAGCCAGAGGCTTTTTATAGTGTGTGTGTGTTAAGCAGCCAGGAAAATTTTAGTAAAATGTCTCAGAAGTTTGAAAAAGCAGTATAAAGAAGGAGGCTTCTTTCCAGTCTTCTAACAGGGAAGACTTTCTCCTTTCTGTATGTCACAGTGTTACATGCAAAAGCAGAGGTATGACAGTTTCCCTCTCTGTGGCTTCATTTCTAATGATGCTGCAGGATTCATGTGAACTGTATTTCTCCTTTGGCACTCTCTTAAAAAGTTCAGAACCACCCACCTATCTCTGTATAATAGCACTTTATATTACACCATTTTTCCTGGAAGCGGTAGTTGTTTTTGCAGTTGCTAAATGTAACAGAGAATCCCCTGGTTTTTCCCTGCTTCAGCAGGAATGTTAGAGGTTTAAATGTTCCATATTCAGATACTTATCAATGACTTCTCTCATTACTTTACTACATGAATGTGCAACCGTTGTTACTTTCAGGCAGTTCGTGGCACCATCAAGTGGAATGCCATGTTAGGGCATTTCGCTGAGAAAATAGATTAAGTAAATATATGCTACTTTGTTTCTTGATTTATCTAGTTTGTGACCAGTTAGATAATTCTATGTTTCAGGAGTTACAACAACTACAAAATAGCTTGCAAGTCTAATATTTATCTGAAATGAATATTTGGTATGTTGTGTATCCACTACAGGGTAAGAAAATAATGCTTTAAATGTGTTAAATGGTTCCTTTTACACTGCTAGAGCTGAGCAAGCTAGTAAAAGGTTTTGGAAAAATGTCTTTAAACTAGCAGTTCAGTGGATAGGACACAAGACTGGGGGTTGAGAGAGAAGTTTCGTTCTTTCTGCTCCCAAATCACGTAGCAGGTTGGTAAACAGTTGTTTGGCCAGACTGTTTTTTGCTCTCATTGTTCCTCTTTGCACTGTGTATTTCAGGACAGCCTTCCTGAAACGTTATAGAAAGCCTCTCTCTCTTACTGGTTAGGCCCTCTCTGCTACCACAAATGGTTTTCAACCAATACATACAAGACTTACAGTTTCATGGTTGCTTCATTCTGACATAAACTTGTGATGCAACTTCCCTCTCCTTTGTGCCACCAGTACATTGGTGTAACTGCAGGGTGGGTTGGCTCAGAGAGTCCATTTGGTTTAGGAGTTCATCTTTTTGCCTTGTTTAGCCAACCGCTGGTTGAAGACAGCCACTTATTTGGAGCGTGGATTTTGTCCAAGTGGATTAACCTTACAGTTGCAGCCTAATTGTGTGTCTTTTCCATGGCAGGATTCATTAAGGGAGGCTCACGGCCTCAATAGCAACTGTAGCAATAGCAACTGGAAAGGATTTTGACCTCTGTTAAACTGGCAAGTGACTAAATATAATAAAGGGAATATACTTTGAAACTTCGAGGTTATTGGCAAGGCCCTGTGTTACAGGTGCAGTCATTTCAGATTTCAGGATTGTTAAAACTCTGTTTTCCTTATTGTGAAAAAGTTCCTGTTGTGTGCAGGTCTTTGTCACGCAGGATACCAGGGCAGAAGAGTTAGTATGTTCAGAAAAACATTGCTAACTAAAATCAGTCTGAAGAACGTTGACTCTGTGTGCACTGTAAGCAAAGTAAAACATTGGCCATGGTGTTTTGCAGATAAGGAGTTGTATGCCTGGATGAAGTGTGTGAAGGGACAGCCCCACGATCACAAGCACCTGATGCCAACCCAGATTATTCCAGGCTCTGGTAAGACCATGTGTGAACGAGCAGAATGTGTTTTTTCCCTGCACCTTTCTGTGACGAGAGGCCAGAGTTGTTTCTTGAAACTTCTAATTTTCCATTTAAAAACCTGACAATTGAGTTAAATCGTCTTAGTAAGGCAGGTGATTCTGGGCAGTTACCAGCAGTGGCACAGATGATGAAGACAGTAAGGGAGTGTGCTGACAGATGTGTGAAGGGGTTTTGGGGATGGGCAGTGAAGAAATCAAAGATCTTGACCAATTAGTACCTTTTCAGAGCAGAATAAACCAGCCAGAATGTGCTTAATAACTCTGACCTTAGCTGTTAAAAGAAAGATCTTCATATAATGTTTATAACATCCCAGAGCATTGTGTGGCAAGAGATTTCTGGGGATTTGTTTTCCATTGTTGTCTGTCCCATTCACCCACACAGAAAAGAAAATGTTTTGGTTGGACATCTGATTGAGCAAAATGCAGGAGCTTGTGATAATTGAAAAACTAAGCAGTAATCATAAACCCAGCTAGATTCAGACTTCTTTCAACCAAGGAAGTTTCCTGAAGCAGTGCAGTTAGGTGTGGGGGTGGTTACTAGCACAAATGTACTTAGAATTTCTGGCAACATTTGATACAGACTAGAAAACAGAAAACTCAAATGTGCCCTTAATAAGTAAATTCACAGGTTATTTTAAGCTGAAAATACAGAGCCAGTCATTATTTTATGGATTGTTGCATGTTAGGTCAGGTAGAAATGAAGGTTGGTTGGATTCCATAGCAAATTCAGATTGTGACATTCCTCAGAACAGGTTCCAGTCTGAAACTGGTTTTAATTTTACACTGTGAAGTGACCCACTTGTCTGGAAAGAGCACAGCGAAAGCTGCCTACGTAGCCTCGGTGGTGTCCTCCTGTGCATATCCATTACCAAACAGCCTTCATTTACATGGTCACATACTAATTTTTTTGTCAAGATGTGGCTCACTCAGTCTGCAGTTGATGGTTTTAATAAATGGAGCAATGATGCACCTGTTGAACAATAAGAAGTAAATAATGAACGACTGGCTTGCCTGGTGTGTGCCACGCGATGGGAATGCAGAATACAGGTTAGATTATTCAGAAGAGTAGGGTGCAATTACTTAATTAAAGGTCTCTCTTTCTGCACAAGCTTTAAAATAAACTGGGCAGTCGTTTTATAGTATTTTTGAGTATTAAATTTAAGATTTCTAAGAGTTTAAATTATGAAAATACTTGGAGATAGCATTTTAGCATCACAGTGTGTGTATTGTGAAGAGGGTCACAAAATGATTGACAGCTGCTGATGATTTTCTTCTTAATTGTCTTCTAGTTTTGACAGATCTTTTAGATGCTATGCACAATATTAGAGAAAAATTTGAAATTAAATCGCATTGTCAGTGCACCAGCAAGCAGAGCACGCAAGCTGGCAAGCTCCCTGCAATGAATGGTGTGTCTCAGGTGAGTCTAGAATGTGTGTATATATTGCAGCTTGCTCAAGTGTTGTGATTCCTGTGGATTTCTGTATTTGAATAGCGCCAGCTGCATTTTAATTTGCATACGTGACAGTTAAGTGCTGGCCTTGTCTTTGAAATACATTAGAGCAAAGCTGTGGAGTTAAAACCAAATTTGTTCTTTACAGGTTTTGCAGAATGTCCTTAACCACAGTAATAAAATTTCCCTGTGCACACCTGAGTCTCAACAGCAGAACACTCCTCAAAAGTCTGAGGCAAATGGTAACGTGAGCCCAAGGAGTGATGTAAGCACAGACAGCAAGTTAACACCGCCCGAATCCCAGTCCCCCCTGCACTGGCTGGCTGATCTTGCAGAGCAAAAAGCCAGAGAAGAAAAGAAAGGTACGTGTTTGAAGTTGTCATATCTTGTCCATGACTCTGGAGGCACCACTGGTAACGCAATTGAATTAATTATGAGAAATATAACACCGTTTGCTGTTACGAAAAGTAAAGACTGTGTTCCCCAGTAATTTTAACCTTGAAACTGCAGTGCCTTTTCATGGTGGCATCTGAATCCCCAAAGGGCCACTAGTGGAATGCATGGGTGATGTGGGAACATTTCCAGCTACAGCATGTCCCATTTGGGACAGGTGCTCACTCAGCTGCGTGTCTGAGGTGCTGAGGAAGGCCTTTTCTTGGTCACACTGTTTGACGGCATTTCGAAGGATCCGGCTCATCCTCTGGTGTGTTTTCGGGTGGATAAAGCACTGGTGCTGCACAGTGTGTTACCACCAGTGTGAAGTGCAGGACAGTGGTGCTGTTCCTGTGACTGCTTCGTTGACACAACAATGTAAACTCCCAATGATTATTTTTGTTTTAGAGAACAAAGAGTGTCCTTCTGGAAAACATTCAAAGGAAGAGAAAGACCAGGATGATTTGGAGTCCCAGAACTGTAAAAACTCCCCTCCTGCATCCCAGAACAACGAGCAGGGCTCAACCTTACGAGACTTACTAACTACAACAGCGGGCAAACTGCGGCTGGGTTCCACTGACGCTGGCATTGCTTTTGCTCCAGTTTACTCCACAGGAACAGCAGTAAGTGTTTACAAGTCACACAGTTTTTCTGCCAGGATTTGAAAGTCTGTATCATTTGTGTTGGCACGTTGTCCGATGGCTGAAAACTTCATACGAAAACTTCATATGGACACACACACATTAATGTTTTATTTATTTTTATATATGGTCAGAATTGATATATCTGAAATGTTATTCTACTGCAGAAGGAACTACACTAACTTCATTTGCTTTTATGTTGTTTAAGCATAAATTTGTTTGTTTTCTAACAGAGTGGCAAGAGTGGAAGGACTATGCCAAACATCCTTGATGACATAATTGCTTCAGTAGTAGAAAACAAGATTCCACCAAACAGAGCACCAAAGATAAATGTAAAATCTGAAATAAAAGATGAGCCAAAGGATGATAAAAAATGTATTCAGGATGACTGCAGTAAACGGTACAGTGATATTCAGTATTCATGGATCTGTGATAAGCACGTTCTGTGGCTCAGAGACCATAAAAACAGCAACAACTGGAAGCTCTTCAAAGAGTGCTGGAAACAAGGCAGGGTAGGTATTGAGGCGTTCAGTGTGTGGAGTGACCTCAGTGTGAACCCTGGGGAGCTGTGCTGAGGGACACAAACGCCTGACTCCATGTGTGAAGCTGCATTGTTATCAGTGGGCAAAAACCTGTCAGGGATAGCCCACAGGGGAATTGTGTAGTTAAACTTCAGTTACTTGCTCATGGTGAATCAGAAATTCCTGTTGTGGAAGTTTCAGAGTCCAAAAAGAGGTGTGTGACACGTTTGGGAATGGGTGCTCCTGGAGGAATTGTTAACAGCTCGGTAGGGCCAGGGTCTTCAGTGTGTATTTCAGGTGCATTTGTACTTGGGAAAGGATAAATATTGATTTTATTTTTACTTATTTTATTTTTCTTTTTACAGCCTGTTTTGGTGTCGGGTATGCATAAGAAAATGAACTTCAGCCTGTGGAAAGCTGAGTCCATTAGTCTGGATTTTGGAAACCAGCAAGCCGATATCTTGAATTGCAAAGACAGTATCATTTCAAACACCAATGTCAAGGAGTTCTGGGATGGTTTTGAAGATGTTTCAAGTATGTTACTGTGAATGTATTATTCTATTGATTCTGAGCATGATCAGTGTTAGAAACTGCAGTTAATAATAGTCTTTATGGATTTTGAGGCTTTGAAGAAACTTTTAAAAGACAGTTGTGGATAATCTGTTTCCAGAGAATGTGATGGAAACTGGCATTTTATATGTTTGCAGAATCAAAGATGCACTGTTTACACTGGTTAGGTCTGACTAGGAAACCAAACAAATGTCACTGTTCCTTAACTCATTGAGTTTCGTTTGTATCATTCTTGAGTTTTGAAATAATTTATCTGCTGTTTCATGCATGAAATTTTGATTATTGATAGGTTTAAGAGTTCAGCTCTCTGTTTTGGTTGAATAAAGTAAAACATCTACAGTGTATTAGCTTTTACTAATTTCTGTGTTACTTGCAGAACGGCAGAAAGTAAAAAATGGGGAAACAGCTCTACTAAAACTGAAAGATTGGCCTTCTGGTGAAGATTTCAAGGCCATGATGCCAGCAAGGTATTTTGAGTTTAACATCGGACATTCTTAAGTCAGTCCCCGTGTTGGGTTTTTCTCTCTCTATGTAATGGCACAAATTCAATTACATTCTTCTTTCCTTTCTCCTTCAGATATGAGGACTTACTAAAAAGTTTACCCTTGCCTGAATACTGTAGTCCAGAAGGAAAACTAAACTTGGCTTCTCATCTGCCAGGATTTTTTGTCCGTCCAGATTTGGGACCCAGACTGTGCAGTGCATATGGTGAGTGTGCCCTGAAGTGCAGACCCTTGAACCTGTAGAATGTCACGTGTTACAATGCTTGATAGAAAGCTGAGCTTACTTGAAGGCTAATTGTTCACTCAGTGTAGGAGAAAGACTGAATATTAACAGCACAGGCACCTCAGGCATGAGAGCTTAGCTGCTTCTGCATTTCTTTCTATCTTTTCTTGTGCTGTTACAGCCTTTGGAAGCATAGAAATGGTTATGTGCTTCTACACAGAGCTAGATCCTGTCTTGAGAAGTGCTGTATGACAGAACACTTCATGAGATGTCACTGTCTTTGTAATTCTGGCCATAAATAAGTCTCAGCATATTTCTCATAGTTTGTTTTGTGTGCTGAACACTCAAAAACCTGTTCAGAAAAGGTGGTTTCCCTCAGATATTTTCCATCCACTCCTTTTCCAAAAAATTTTGTTCGTTTCTGTTTTACAGATTGTTGTAATAGGACAAGAAATGAGTGGTAATTTGTGATGTGATAGCTTTGATTTAAAAAGTTCTCCAGGTGTCCTTTGAAGTAAACATATTAACAGTAGTGATCAAGGCATGGGTCTGAAGGACTGAGTCTTTAAATCTTTAATTTACTCTCTCATGTAATACTGCTGTAAGGCTTAGTGTTCTAAAATGTCCTTTTGATGTAAGAATGTGTGTTTTCATTTTTTAAATTTAAAATTAATTTTCCTCCTTGTTTGGGCATTATTTTGATTAAGAACTCCGCTTACAGCCAGACATAAAAGTGACATATTTGATAGCCTTGTTTATTCATTGTATCTGCATTCTGCACTGAACACCCTGAAAGGAGGAATGGAACACAATGGTCAGGAAATGTCTCCCACTGTTCTGCTGAAACATTTTGTTCTGACACAAATGCTACAGAGGGACAGTTACCTGGGCTAAGAGACACCTCACGGTGTCTGCTAACAAGTAACATTTCCTTGTTTAGCAGGTGAACCAGAAGCATGTTTGTAGTTTGTGTATCTCAGTGATGCTGAGTATGCTTTCAGAAGTGTCTTCTCAGTTGTTGCACATTTCTGTTTGAAGGTGAATATGCACTGCAACAAATCTTAATTTTGTCTTGTACCACAGGTGTGGCTGCTACTAAGGACCATGATATAGGAACCACAAATCTCCATATCGAAGTGTCTGATGTCGTGAACATCCTTGTTTATGTTGGCATAGCAAAAGGAAATGGAGTGCTTTCCAAATCAGGTAAAGGGAAGCTCACTCACTGTACAGGTGTGGATGGACTGAATGTTCTGCTGCTTCCAGTGTTGACGCCGTTCTGCTGAAGGGGGTGGGATATATCCATAAATACTTCCTTAAACCTGGGAGATTCTTTGTTTCAAGAGTTTGCAGACATATTAGTTCTGCATAAATACACTGCAGTTCATGAATTATGAAATGGTATTTGGGCCTCTTCTCACTTTTTTTTGCCTTCACCTGTAATTGATGCACCATTCGTGTGCTGGGACTGGCACAGCTAATGAAAGTGCGGGATGAAGGATTTCCTTTGGCAGCTGTGGTGGTTCTAACAATTATGTCAGGATGATGTATTTGCCAGACCTTCTGTTTATTCTGCTCCTTCTGGGTGCACTGTGTTCACTCTATTGAATTTGGACTGTAATGTAATTTTTCAGCACTGGAGAGCTTAAATTGGTGTATGTTAGTCATCTCTATGAGGTTTATTGGTTATGTGAAACAGTCTTTAAATCACTGAAATAGTTTTGTTTCTTCCCCTTTTTCTTTTGTCCTCTTACTCCACAATCAGCAAGTGTAGATTTGGGATGTGAGTAATAGAGCTGCAGTAAGGTTTGTCTTTTATTTACTTTGTTTTCACTTGGGTATGCACTAAGTTAATAGCAGCAAACTTGAGCATCCTGGGAGAGCTCTGCCTGCTAGAACAGCATGCTAAACGCTGCTTGTGCTGACTGCAGGAAAACACCTTTTTCTTCTTTTAATTTTTTTTTACCAGCCTGCTTGTTTATTTCAGGCAAGAGATTGTGTTCTGTCAAATTCAAGAAATGTGGACAAGTTTAAAAATTAACTGTATTTTTAAGATATCCATGGCATTCATGTTCTAGTACCTGTTTACAAACACTGAACACAGAGGTCATCTGGGGGCTCCTGTTGTATTCAGCAAACTTTTATTCTGCTTGGTCTCACAGGATATTTGAAAGGAAGGTGTTTAGTTTTAAAGTTTTTCCTCTGCCTCACACTTAAAGAACATTTTTGTTCAATCTTAGGAGTTTTGAAGAAGTTGGAGGAGGAAGATTTGGATGACCTTTTAAGGAAGCGGTTGAAGGATTCAAGTGAATTACCTGGTGCCTTATGGCACATTTACGCTGGCAAAGATGCTGACAAGATAAGAGAGTTTCTGCAAAAGGTCAGATTCATTACACGTAATTTATAAATAAACCAAGTAATTGGTAAATCAAAGGGGGCTGGCAGAAACCACCAACTCCACCCAAGTGTGAGGGAAGAGAGAGAAGTAAAATTACTTCTTTATAGCACATAAAATAGATTATAATTGACCTGCTACATTGTCAACAAATAAAATACATAGCATGATCCATATTCACTTCATAAGAGTTACAGGTGGCCTGCAAACTCTGAAGGCTCAGGAGAGCATAGAGATTATTCTTGTCCTCCTCTAATACAAAGGATAATCGGTAGGATGATGTTTTTCTGTCACTGATCCATTCGCGCGTTATCAGCTGCTGAATTTTTAGTGAGTTGACCCATGCCAAAACCCCTGACCTTGCCACCCAGCAGCCACTGACATTCCTCAGGGCTCTGTGTTAGGTCACTTAGCTCAGAGAACATGCCTTGGCTCTTAGAGAAGGTGGAAGCACTGGGATAACGTATCCAAGGGCAGCAAACTTACTCCTTCGCTACAGTGCAGCCTGTGATGCAACAAGTTAGAGCCACATCAGAACCTTGCAGGTTGTTCCATAGGTTGAATATCCACCAGTGGCACTAAATGTAGGGATACCGTGTTGGAAGCAGTTTTCTGTGCCCTGTCGTCAGTGTGTTTTGATGTTCTAGGAGACAGCCTGGCTGGATGACATAGAAATACCAAAATATCACTGAAGTGCTTGCTTGAGGAAAAGAAATCTTTTCTCTCTTCTACTGTGGGAAGAAATCAGATGAGTTTTAACTGGCTAAGCCAAAGGGGTCCATAAAAAGACTGGAGGCCAAGGGCTCTACTGCCGGCAGGGAAAGCCTGAGAGCTCTAGCAGTGAAGATTCTTTTGGACAATAAAGCAGTGTTTTTGTACCAGGGCAGCTGTCCTCTGGTGACTCAAACATTTGCTCTTTGGCAAGCTGAACTGTGGGGGAAAAAGAGAACTAGTAAATAAAACACAGCTAATTCCAGGAGATTATGAATTATACAGCAAGACTTTTCTGTTCATTCAAAAAGTAGATGCTCATAAATTAGATTGTGGCTCTTCAGTTTGAGAAAGAATTGTGAACAAAAGTACAACTGCGAGGGAACAGGTGGACAATGAGGAGTATTCAGCGTTTCCTGTCTCAGAGCAGTCAAGGGACATTGTGAAACTCTTTGAGCAGCAGGTTTGAAACAGAAGCACTTCAGATGCTGTGTAATGAAGGTTGTCATTTGCTGTCACAGCTTGCTCTGGTATCCAGAATGAGTCGTGTACTGGAGGGTATTTTGGAAGTACTGAATTGGAGATTTAATTGATGGTAAACGTTGGGACCATTTGCCTGCTAAGAGATAAAATCTCACTATCTTGTTAGTACAGAAAAGTGGGATAATACTGAAGAACTGCTTCAAGCTTTGCATCACATAATTAAGGATATTTAATATCAATATAAGTAAAAATCGATGTTTTTAATGAGATGATTTTCATGATAGGTGGATCGGAGTCAATAGGATTGATTTAGTAGCAGTTGATTAAGGGTAGTGTTTGTTCCCCTGTGGTTCATGTGGTGAGAAATGTGTGTGCAGTTCAGTTTACCGATGTCAGGAAGTATTTTTATACGTTCATCGTTTTTTCTGAATACCCTCATGGGATGGCAGGAAAATAACTTCTTATCCCAGTGGGATTGGGGTGGGAAGGGGACCTCTTGAGGGCCCTCTGTCCAAACCTGAGCTCAAGCAGAATCACCTGGAGCAGGTTTCTCAGGACTGTAGGACCCTTGGGTTTTTCTCTGCTGTTTTTTTCCTGAGCTGGGGTTGTGGTGGTGCCTGTCTGTGTCAAAGCTGAAGGTTGTAAGTCTGAGGAACTGGCAGCACAGGGACTGAGGGCAGATATTTTCTGGATGAAAGAAGTCCCACAGAGAGAGTGTCTGGCTTATTAGTAGATTATTGTGCTGAGTCCTTTACAGCTCTGCATCTTGGAGTGGGAGTGCTGCAGATGTCTTCAATTCAGTGGGACTTCACAGTTCCTTTGAGGGTGTTTTGAATCCCTGATGAGAGTTCTTGGTTGGCTGTTAGGAACACAGTAACGTTACTGCCAAGTTAGATATATTTACACTTTATCAGCAAAAGGTTTGGTTCTTTTGGAAGTGACTTGGGATCCTTTGTGTACTTTCAGATAGCGAAGGAGCAAGGCTTAGAAGTTTTACCCGAGCACGATCCAATCCGTGATCAGAGTTGGTATGTGAACAAAAAACTTCGCCAAAGACTTTTTGAAGAATATGGAGTAAAAACCTGTACGGTTATTCAGTTCCTTGGAGATGCTATTATCCTACCAGCAGGAGCACTTCACCAGGTAATGTACCTCAGCTTAAAGACACACAGGATTAAATAGCATAAATGCAGTAAAATAACTTTTTTCCAAAGACATAGATACATCTGTACTCAAGTAGATTTTATTTGCTTTTTAGTGGCTGTTAGGAATGTAAAATAAAGTTACATCTAGTGGTGTAACTGATTAGCCAGTGCTAATGTACAGCAACTTGAATGCCTTAAATATTAGTTCCTTTTTTTGCTTTACAATTACAAATGAACAGACTATTATTAACCACTGTTTTCCACTTTTCGTTTCCTTAGCAGATTTCTAAACAAACTGGGGTTAGTTATGGCAAAGTCAGGTTAGTAATTTTTTTCTTCTAAGCCAAAAGTTAACCTCACCCAGGAGAGGCAGGGAGAGCAACTTGAGCAGGTAAAAACCACCTGGATGTCATTGCTTTTCTCTTCAGCCATAGGAGAATTGTAGTGGGTGTTCTGGTGTTCCTGTAACTGGGGTTTGGGTTGTTTTCCCGTGCCACACTTTTTATTTTTACACAGAAGGTACATCAGTCACCTGGAGTCATCATTGTCCCTTCTTGCCATCAGAAAGAGTGATATTGCCTTTGCAGCAGCCGAGCTGATTTAATCCTTAGTTATGTAAGAAAAAGTACTGCCAGTGGGGCAGTTCTGGAGAAACAGGATGAATTTGTGTCAGGCAGCTTCAGTCATCTCCTGGCACTGCCTTTTGTTTGGCCTTTTTTTTTTCCCTCCCAGTCTGTGAACTGCTGCTCCTTGGTGAAAAGAGGAAGAAAGCACAATTGTATTTCTTTCTTCACTCATTAACCTTTTCCTGCTTTAGCAGGAAATGGAGCCTCCTTGCTTGCTGTGTCCCCAGCTGCCAGGCAGCCCTAACGAGGTAGCTGACTATCAAGGAATGAGGAGCATGCCCACCCTGCACTTGGGCTTGTAAACCATCGTGCTATTAAACATTTATCACTGATCTCCACGCGGGTTCAAGTGAGGCCAGGCCTTTCTGGGGAAGATGCTATTTGGTTTCTGATGTGCAGATCAGCTTCCAGCCGCTGGCAGGGAGGAAGCAGTGGCTTAACCACGTCACCGTGGCCAGGGCAGTGGGGAACTGACTGGGTTGTGGTGATGACAGCTGCTTTGTCCCTGTGTCAGTTCTGGGGCATTGGAAACGACAGGTACCTTACCCAGACTGGGCTCCTCTTCATTCCAGTGAGTTTTTGGGTGGGTTTGACGTGGTGGTAGGTAGCTCTGGATAGTCTGCAGGGATTCGTTTCCTGGCAAAGAAGAAAAAAACCCAGAGAGCCCCATACAAACCCAGGGGACCCAAATCTGGGGTTGTTGTAGGTCACCTTTCCCTGTACCTCGTCTCCAGGGCTTGATGTCACTTCGCAAAGGTGAAGGAATGTCTTGACGTTGCTGTTGTTCTTGGCTCCTGTTGTGCTAAAGCAGCTGGGGCTCCCACAGTCATGTATTGAATCCTCCAGCAACCTTACAGTGATCTCTCGAAATAAGGGAGAGATGTCCCAGATACAAGAGTGATAAGGAAACCCACAGAAAATAGCAGATGTACTGGGAAATTTGCTTTATATAGCATGTGACATTATATAAAGGGATGCAGAATATAAAACATGAAGTAGGGGGACTGTTCCAGGCTTCCCTGCAGTTCATACATTTAAGGACCAAAAATAAGATCACTCTTATCTTTATCTCCTTGGCTTTAAACTCGAGATTTCTTTTGAAGTGGTAATGTTCTAGCTTCTGGCACCAAGGAGTTAATAACATGGTGTTTTTAAACCTTAGTGGGTGAAGCTGAGAACCTTTTCATCTTCAGTAAGTTCCTGTGAATCTGCCACGTAGGAGGAAATGAAAGCATGGTGTTCTTTCATGTGTGTGCACAGTGCTCTCTCTAAATAGAGATGCATAAATACTGACCTTAGGGATCAGCACCAGCACTTCAGAGAAACAAAGCACATTTAAACACTGAAAAATAAGTCTGCACACGAATACATACCACACTGAGTTTACACATTGAGTGTTTCAGATTTACATGTGCATCATGAGTCTTTAATTATTAACTGGGTGAGAGTTGATACTAAATTTGGTGGTAAATTAACATTTTTATTTTTTGTTTGCTCATCAGTAGTGTTGTGGAGCAGAGGAAATCAGGCTGAGGGCTGGAGTCAGGGAGCCCGGGTGCCTGTGGTCACTGCACGGTGTAGTTCAGACACTTCCATCCTGGAGGATTGTTAGCACACTGCTGCTTCTGGTGTACTGGTCTAGAATGGAGGTGCTGCTCTAACATGGAGGAGGTTGTGTGTGTGTCTTCTGTATATCCTTTTTTCCTCTCGCCCAGGTTCTGTGGATTCATGTCTAGCTTTTAAAGTCATTTATTCTTAACATTTTATGGTAGAATTAAGCATTCCTCTTGCTTCCCAGGTTTCTCCTCTCCCCGTGTCCTTGCAGACAGCAGTCACATCCCCCTTGTGATTGCTGCAGTAGGCAAAGTCAGGCTGTTCCCGGGTGGGCTGGGAGGCAGAGCCTCTCCTGTGAGCTGTGACAGGCAGGGCAGCCTTGGCAGTATCTCTTGAGGAGGGAATTGCTCTCCCGGGAGGGGAAGCCAGAAATAGATACAGCCTTGCACCGGTCACCTCTGCAGATGTTTCCCTGGATGCCGTGTGAGGGATGCACTGTGGGATCACAGTGTCCGTCCTTCTTGGCTGTGTGAGTTGGGAGCTCAGCAGTGTCCCTGCCTGGCTGATGTCTGGGCCTTGTTCGCTCTGTGGGACTTGGAACAGGGAGCCCTGAGCTCTCTTTGGAACTTCCCTGGCTAAAAAAGGAGCGTTGTACTGTCGTGAATGAGTCAGTCTTTCTGCTCCTCCTCTGTGGGTCATGCTGCATCACAGACATCTCTAGGGATGCCCTGTCTGTTTTTAACTTGGTGGCTTCAGATTTGTAAAATATTTTAGCGATAAATTAAAAGCTAGAGGTATGGAATCAGTGATTGAAATGTGGTGTTGAGGCTTCCCTGCAAAACTCGTTCATAGAGGAACAGGTTATTATAATGTTGTTTTTTATAGTGGTATTATCTTGATTTAACAGCAGGATTATGTATTGTAAAATTACATGCTGGAGGTAATGCGACATCCTGGCGATGTTCCGATAAGGATGTGGGATAAAGTCTGGGCGTTGCGAGTGCAGAGCTCCCGCAGCTGAGCCTTGCAGGAAGTGGCTGATCCTGTGGCCATGAGGACGGGTGGGTGGCCCTTTCCTCCCTGCCCAGTCACCTTTCCCTGTCCCAGCCCAGGTCTGAGGCTTTTCCAACACTCCACTCATCTCCTGGCCGTGCTGGAAAACCTCTGCTGCGCGTGGGCTGGGTGTGAAGCTGTTGTCAGTTCAGCTGGAAGTGGCAGAGGCGTGGGAGTGCTGCACTCCTCACCCCGCAAACCCCGGGGGATCCTCGCTCAACGTTTTTATTTGTGTGTGTCACTGTATCAGCTTGTGCTATAAATATTATAAATAGAACTGCCTGTGGGCTGCCAGGGGGGCATTCCCATGGTAAAATCTGTCCTCCCTGCAGGCTTTTCACACGGTTAAGACAGGCCCTGGAAGGGAAGGAGGCTTAAGGCACAGCAGAAAGAAAGGTCTGAGGGAAACATTCCCTATTCTGCCGTGGAGGGGGGGGAGGGAGTTGGTGAAACCTTGTCTTGGTGAGGAGAAAGTGATTGAGTCCTGTGGGATTTGCATGGGCTGGCAGGGAAAACAAGGGCAGGTAGAGACTTGAAAGAGGTGAGAAGTCTGTGAGGGAGGAGAGGGGGCTGGAGCTTGGCAGAGGCATTTCAGCCCAGGCTCGAGGAAATTCCCTGAGTGCTGGGGGAGCCTCACAGTGGCACTTGTGTTGCCTTGCTCCTGGCTTTCTGCCGCTCGCAAATTGTGGGGCATCAACAAACCCTCTTCGTCTCCAGAATGACTTCTGTGGCGATGAACTCCCAGGAGGGACCAGCCCTGCTTTGTCCTTGGTGATGATGAGGCTGCAGAAACCCCACATGCAACACGAGTGCTGAGCTGGGGTTACCGCTGGGATTTCGGCTGTAGAGGGCTGAGCTGCCGTGTGAAATCACACTTCGGCAGTGGTTTTGAAGAAGAGAATAATTTTTAAATGAAGTCCTGTGTCCTCAGCTGTGCAGGCCCCGGGGGTTTCTTTGAGTGTCAGGTACCATAATGGAAATTTTAGAGTGTACATTTAAAAAATCTAGATTTTGCTAGGTGTGACCTTAAAATGTGCAGATGTCTGTCAGCCCTGAGCAGGGTGGGACTGGGTGTTGCTGGGATGCCTCCCCAGCCACAGGCTTTGGGAATTCCCCAGAATTGATGTTGCACAACTCTGTGAGGAGCAGTTGGAATTGGGGGTTTTGACATGCTGAATTAAAAATTACAGTGTAATTTGTAAGGGTTTAGGGGTGAAAATCTGATGCTGAATGTTCCTAAAGGGAACAAGCAGGAGTTGATATTTGGGTCACAACCAGGAAGCATTTTCCCTCTCCGCTGTCCTCAGGTACAACTTGATGGCAGGAGATGGTGTCTGTTCCTCAGCAGTTACCTCACACCACTAAGAAGAAAGTGCTTTCTGCCCCCCACTTCTCAATCTGCCCCTTTCTTTGTTCATGATTTTTTTCTCTTTTGAGTGTTCCCACCAGCATTACTTCTCCATGAGTGTGGAAGCTCCTAGAGGAGCCAGGTCCTGCAGGACAGGCAGAGCTGTGGCCGGGTGGGTCTGCGGATCCTACGCCGTGTCTGGGAAGGCTGTGCAGCAGCTGGTGAAAGGGTGGAATAACACATCAGAGTGTTCAGTGTGCCTTTTGCCAGAAGCTCTTAGATAAGTCGAATACACTTAATTGTTCTGTACCTGTGAAGGTGCCCTTTAGTCTGATAAGGCTGTGGTTAAGGAATGTCAAGGCCCACTCTTTTCTCAGGTCTCTCTGCCAAAGAATAACTCCAAATACTAATTACCAGTCTCTTGTTATTTTGGATAGGTGCAAAATTTTCACAGCTGTGTTCAAGTAACTGAAGACTTTGTGTCTCCAGAACACCTTGTACAGTCATTTCACTTAACGCAGGAGCTGAGGCTGTCGAAGGAAGAAATCAATTACGATGATAAACTGCAGGTAGGAACCGGACGCCGCTCTGGAAGCGGCTGGGAAGGCAGGGCGTGCTGGGGCTCATTGAAATGCTGAGCAGTGCGTGGAGCTACTTCCTCACTGCTGTTCACACAGAATAACAATGAGCAGCAGCTTCAATGCCAGGGCTCTAAACGACTCTCCCTTGAGTTGCTGGTTTGATTTATTTCACATGACATTTTAAAATGTGTAAAAAGCTGTTGCCTTTTGCACGGGCTCGGTGCATCCTTCATTTTTTTCCATCCACTGTGCTTAGGGCTCAGTCCTAAACTTTGCAGAGTTCCTCAGTCACAGGCCTTACTAAAATCTGTCTGTTGTTCTTGCAGGTTAAAAATATCTTGTACCACGCAGTTAAAGAAATGGTGAGAGCTCTGAAGATCCACGAAGGTGAAATGGAAGATACAGATGAAAACTGAGCGCGTTCTGCTTTTTGGAGTCACCATCAATGGGAGGTCGTTTCCCCTGGCCTGTGAATGGTATGCACACTAATTTAAGCTTCACAAACCATCAGTGCCAAGAAAAAATAGTCATCGTATTTACTTGTTAATGACACTGCGACGGTAGAGCTTCATATCACAGCCACTGTGATTCCATGTTCCACTTGCAAACAGTTGAGCAGCATTCTGCTGTCTGTATTATAATGTACATGAAGTTTGTGAAATGTCAAAGATTTAAGATGATGTATTTATTTTTGGAAAAAAACCCACAAAATTCTATGCTATATTGTTGATCAAATGTAAATGTGACTTGTACAGTTTGCTAAAATAATTCAGATATTTTTCACTACATTGAGACAGTTACTGTGAGAGTAGGACACAAACACCAGCTATTGCCTGCATTTGGGATCTTGCTGAGTCCGCACAGCAGTCATGTCATAATCTGAAAATTACTGCCAAATAATTGTAAACTTTGTAAAATATAAAGTATATAAAGTAGATATTAAATACAGACACTTCAGTATTTTATTGAAGCTATTCAGTGTACAATTAAACGTTTTCAAAAGGTGTAATTTATTTAAAAATTGTCTCATTTTGGTAAAATTTATGTGAACTTTTAAAGCTTAAATATTAAACTTAATATGCTATGTAAATATATACATATATACATTCAATGATGTATTTTTTTAAAACATTGGCTTGCTTTAATTTGTTAAAAGTGCAAGTGTTACACATGCTTTGTACATTGAAGTTGAAAGGGGTTTTACATTTTCCATTAAAATGACTTTATCAGACGTGGTGTTGTCTGTTTGTGCCAGTGCAGCTCCGGGGCTCCCTCTGCGGGCCGGAGCCGGCACTGCGGGCCGGAGCCGCCTTCCCTTCGGGAATCGGCTCCTGCTTTGCAGAAGGGTGGAAAGGCGTTTCTGCGGAGTAATTATTTTATAACAACGTGGCTTTTCACAGTTCAAGTAATACCACTGAACAAATGTTTAAAAAATATAACTGGTATTACTTAATAATGATAAATGTTAGTTGAGTGGAATTCCTGCTCTTGGAGGGAATTTGAAAAGTTGAAGTGTACTTTGATTTAAGTTATTAAAACTATTGAAATGATCAGATGGATATCAGATGTTGGGCACAGCCATTGGCCAGCTCCTGATGTGTCTGAAAGGGGATGGTAATTAGCCTGGGTACAGTAATGAGCCTGGGTCCTGCTCCCAGTCTGACATCTCACAGGGGGTTTGGATAACCAAAAAACCCCAAACGCCATAAAAAATTACCCTTAGAAACAGTGAAACACAAAAGCAATTTCTCATTCCAGAAATCTTTTAGTTGTCTTGAAAACTTGGAATTTGTGTCAAGTTGCAGAGAAACACTGGGGTTACTGTTGCTGTGCTTGGCAGTTGATTCTTAATGTCAAACTCTTCCATCCAGCATCTCCTCTGTTCTTCCCAACAGCACTGGAGCACTGGCTGGAGATGCAGGACCTGCCAGTCTACAACTGCTTAATGATAGGTGGACTGTAAGCACACAGACTTTATTTTTCAAGTTCAGGATATGTAAATGAGTGATTTTTTTTTTAATCAGGTTTAAGTGTTTTCCCCCCAGATTGAGTTTTGGTGAGGTACTTGTAACATTTGTGAAATGCCTGGAGGCTGCTGAAGTTGCTGTTCCTGCGCAGAGGGTCACATCCACCCTTGTTTGTTTTCCTGCACCGAGAGCAGTTGTTGGGCCTGGGCCATCACTGTCCTGTCCTTGTGCTGCTGGGTCTGCAGTGAGTGGATGAAGTTGGTTTCCCCTGGCTCACTCTCACAAAGTGTCACGTTGCTGTGCCTGTCCTGGCCAAAGCTGTGGCTTCCTGCTCTCGGGGCAGTGCCTGACAGCTGATGGCACCTGTCCCTCCAGCCCTGAGCCCTGGCACCATCCTTTGGGCCTGTAGGGCACTGACAGCTGCCTCTGCCACCCCTCAGTGCCTGCAGGGATCCCCTGCACCTCCCTGTCAGCCTGGAGAGGTTTTTACCTCCTCAGGGGGCAACTGGAGTTGTGGAACTGGGGCTGATTTGTATTTCCAAGTGTTAATATTTTAAGTTCTTCCTTTGTGACCTTTTTTATTGCCACCTTTGCTGATGATCAATCCTTAAGCGTATGACAAAAGACACACTTTTTTTTTTTTTTTCTGCAAAAAATGTGTGGGTGGAACGGGTGGTGAAGCAGCAAGAATGTTCCCAAAGAAGAGCCTGAGAGATTGACAAGATTTTAGGACTAAGAGTGTGATTTTGGAGAGGCAAAACTGCCGGGCTCAAGCTGCAGTGTTGCATGGTGTGCAGCACTGTCACTGAGTAAGTAGATCTTGGCTGCTTTTGTAGCAAAGAGAAATGATAAATGACTTTGAACTGCATAAATAAGGTGTCACTATAGAGTTTAACTCTCCACTGGATTTGTTAGTAGAGTTTATCTGCAATAAACTGATGTGGTAGTTACACGAGATGTGTAGTTTTAAAATTTTGTGGTTAGTGTGGATTTGTGATGCAGAAAAACATCACCTGATGTATTTTGCAAATTGATTTGGGAATTGCTGCATTTGTGGGTGACATGTCCTCACAAACTGCCCACCACAATGACCATTTCTCCCAGTAACTAATGGGAGGGCACAAAGCCAAAGCAAGTGACCAGGGACAACGTGGCACAGGCTGAGCGTGACAGGGAGCACTATAAAGTGTTTATTGCTGTCAGCTTGAAAAACCCTGCAAGTCACATGCTGCACGGATTGGCAGACCATGAGAAGTTGTTAAAGTCAGTGGCTACTCCAAATACTACTAAAAGAAGAAAAAAAAATTTGTTTTAAAGTCCTTAGTGTACCAAATTCAGCTTTTTCAGTGCCTTAAGATTCCTGGCTCTGTCACAATGAAGTGGAGCTCCCTGCTCCCCTGCAGGAAATGGGAGCAGGAAATCTGGCTGGGTCATGCTTGTGGCTGTGACCTGAGGTGTTCACGGCTGATGTCTGAGACCTGAGGGGTTTTCTTTTCAGGTTAGTTTTTCCCTCTTGACCATTTCCATGTTCTGTGAGGCATGCTTTTCGCATCTCCCTTTCCTAAAGACTCTTCAGGGGGGTTTCTGATCTACAGTCTCAACTATTTTAATACAGCCCAAAGTATTCAGTGAGATGAGCTGAAGCCATTTGAGTGCAGGAATGCTGTCAGCTCCTAGAGCATGGATATGAAGTACCATGTGTCATCTTTGGTCACCTTTCTGTTGAGATCAAGCTCTGTCTTCATCTGCTTTGCTCTCCTTGAAACTCTTTCCTGTCCTTTGAGATCACTTCTCAGACTCATCAAACTGTGTGTGAGCCCTGCTCCTCACACCCCTCCTTCCCAGCTCCTGACCATCACCTCCATCCTCAGCACTGCCTTGCAGTAAAGGACCACAGCAGTGATCTTCCAGTTGAACTGCAGAGGTAACTAATGAAGGGTAAGCAATTAGCAAAGAATGAAGTGGGGCTGTGATGACCTGAGGTATTCCAGCACAGATGGTTGCTGTGTGGAAGGTTTCACAGAAACAGAAATTGCTGGAATTACTGGCAGGGAAGTGGTCCTCGATACAGAGGTCAGATGTAGGGGTTTGTAACAGTCTGACTTACAGATCTATTTATTTTGCTCCCCCAGCTTCACCCAAGCTGCTCAGATCTGTGTGTGTGAGCAGAGCCCCCATTTGATCAGCTCTGTGTTCTCATGCTCCCTGACCTTTTCAGTAGGTGGTAATTCTGTTTGTACCCTCTCCCGTGACATCCTGTCACCCCCTCTGCTGCTCTCACAGCTGACAGCCTTCCCTGCCCTGCGCCTGGAACTGGGAATTTCCCTTCCTTCCTCCTTCCACAGCCACCATGGCCTGTTCTGCTGCCTTCCTGAGCAGGATGTTTGTGCTCTCCCCCACATCCGTGCTGCATGAGCTGCTGTTGAGATCCTGGATGGAGGCTTTGCTGTGCTTTCCCCTCCTGACCCCCAGCTTTGCCTCAAACAATGTCAGCTCTGCCCTGCGCTCCTGCTTTTCACCTTTTGACTTCTGCTTTGTTGGCTGGAGCTTCTCCTGCCCTGCCTTTGTGTTCCCATGGGGCATGTGCCCCAGCAGGGCAGAGAGCCCTCGGTGCCCCGTGTTATCCACCACCATGTTCCTTTCTTCCAGTCTCAGCAGGGTGCCCAGGAAACTGCCCAAGGAGCAAATGCCCTGCAGCATTAGCAGCACACACAAACTTCTGTACCTCTCTGCTTTTTTCATTTGTTCTCATGGGTTTTGAAAAGGAAGTTACCGTCTATATATAGCTGTAGGAAAATCTTGCCTCACAGCACAGTGAAGACATCATTTACCTGATGTGTTGTGTGCAAACAGTGGCATTCTAAACATGGGCCCTTCTAAAGTGTGTGGAAGACTGAAGGATTGTTGTTGTTATATTTCAAAGTGAACATTTCTGGTACCTTCCAACCATACCAAGACAATACGTTGTTGACCCAGATGCCTGTTTCTTTTTGCAGTCCCTGGGCATGTGGTTTTACCGTAGTGCTGTGCTTCCTTAGTGAAATTAAAGAGTAGGGTTTAGTAGCTCTGGGGCAGGAAATCCTGTATTTTCACAGCTCTAAGGATTTCATATTGTTTGATCTCAATAATACCTTAACTCCTGCAGCAAATGGGCCTGAGGGAACACTTCAAATGATTACAAGACAAACCCTGGTTAAGCTGAGGTTACTTCTGGGAAAACAAACATGGGAGAGAAAGGAGGTGCAGGAAGACAGCCATAGTTCTGAGTCCTGAGGGAGCAATGCACTTTTTATACAGTTGAACTCCACATACTCGGGCAGGAAGGTCTAGCAAATAATGTCCAGTCTATACCTGACTTGTGGCAGCCACACCACTGCTCCAATTGCTTTGGAACAGTTTGATTTTGTTTGCTCTATTTTTAGTCCAATTCAGTACAGGAAACATTGTGGCTGTACTTGGTTTTCTCCATCTATTTTGCTCTCGGGCCTGCTTTTATAGAACTGTAAAGCAGCCCAGGTTGGAGGGGCCTTAAAAGATCATCTGATCCAACCTTTTGTGAGAAATAGGAGCCTAGACAAGGTGTAGTCCCTACCACTGAAGGCAGGTCAACAGGAATTGCAGATGGCTGAAGAGCTGCTGTTGACAGTTCTGGCTGGAGTTCCTGAACATGGAAATGCTCTCAGAGAAAGCAGTCACAAGATCCTTTTTTCCCTTTATGTAAAACCAAAATACAAAACCCAACACTTCTGTATTTTGGTTTTAGCCATCATTCTAAGTAGCAATTGGTGGTGCAGTCTGCAGATTTTATTCTCAAGAGACTCTCCACATTGCTTCCTAGTTGCTTTTCTTTGGTTTCTCTTTCTGTGGTGATATAGCCAGAGATTGGGTAATTACAGTTTCTTTCTGCACAGCATATGTTGGCTGTATTCAACAGGGCCAGTATTTCTGGGTTCCAAGACAAGGATGGTTTCTGTGGTTAAGGCAAAGTCTATGAATAGAAGGCAGTGTCTGGACGTGTATTTAAAATTGGTGAGACACTGAAATGATGGACAACAGAGTTGTTTAATTCTGCCCGTGTAAAACAGCGCAGCCCAGACTCCCTGCCCATGGGAATCTTTCCACGTACTGTGCCAGGCTTTGGTGCCACGCTGTGTGACCACCAGCGACTTACCTACCACTTTGTTGCTGCTGCTGCACCCGGTCACCTCCTGCACGGCATTCCCGCACCGCACCTCCGCCTTGCTCTCTCCGGCCGGGAAGGAGCCCGTGGGCTCGGCGGTGGCAGAACAGGCCACGGCGCAGGGAGGGTCCCCGAGGCTCGGCAGGGTCGGCCGGGCACGGGGCTCCCACCAGGTGGCAGCCGGGGGCTTGCGAGCACAAGGGAGCGGGTCTGGGCTGAGCAATAACGACTTAAACCAGGCCTAAATTGTTCGGGCTTAAACTAATTGCTGACAGCCACGGAAGACAGCTTTCCTTAGGTTATTGCCATGCATCTATAAAACCTGTCCTCTAGTGGTGAGTATTCTCTGTACAACCTACCTTTCTTCCCATGCACTGAATTACTGCTTAGCTCTGGATTCATACTGAAGAATTCCTTACTTGGAAAAACTCAGCATCGCTCACAGGAGTGGAACACTCTCGTGCTCAGCCTTACTGCCCGCAGTTGGGATTCAGCAGCAGTCCTGGGTTGAGCAGGCAGACTGCAAGAACAAACAAACATTTGCACTGCAGGAGAGAGAAAAGTTTTACCACCATTTTCCAAAGTGGCAGTGTGGAGTTTTGCCTCCATTTGGCTACCCTTCCCACAGCTTCCTTCAGGTCTTTGTTTATGCAGCTATACGTGAAGGGACAGTTTAGTCTTGAAAACAGGCAAAGCTGGCGAGCCCCATGCTCCCACCTCTGAGGAACCCTGTCTCTTTAGCAGAGGTAGCCAGGCTAGAAGGTGCTTCCTCCTCCTCTAACTGCTGTTTGCAGAGACCACTGAAATGTCTGCAGCCCTGATCTACCAGCCCTACCAGCGCAGTTAGGCGCTTAAGTCACTTTGTTTCCATCTTGTAAGCACATGCCATTTTCTCTTTACTTACTGTGCTGCTCTGCCTCATCACCTGAGCAGCCAGGCAGGTGTCAGCAGAGACTGTGACTTTCCCTTTGGTGGGAGCAGCGAGCTGGGGCTGCCCTGAAACAGGTCACCTCATCACAGCTGGGCTGTGGGGCCATTTGCACCAACTGAAAAACAACTTTTTCACCCCAGCAAGATTAGATTCCAGCTACAATTCAGCACAAGGTACCTCCTCTAATGACCTCATCTTACCTCTGTTTCCATAGACTTTTTCTAGCCTCCAGTCCCTACTCTCCTTCAAGCACAGAAGACACCAGGTATAGAGAGGCCAGGGGACAATTTACACAGCAGTAGGGTGTTCTTGCTGCACTTCCAAGCCTATTCTGGAAAAAAAATGCACCTTTAGAAAGCAAGCTCACCTTTTAACAGCACAAGAACAACTTAAAATGAGGTAGCTTGCAATACTGAATACTTTCCATAAATCAGTAACAGCTGAGGTTAGCTAAGGCCTCCACTACACACGGGAACACCCCGAGGAAAGCCCCGTTCGGGTACCAGGGCAGGGCAGGGGCCGAGCCCGCCCTGTCAGCCCAGCCCAGCCCCGCAGTGGGTGTGCCCCGCTCCCAGCGCCGTCCCCGCGGCTCCAGGGGGCTGTCCCGGGCAGAACCACAGAGCTGCCCTGGGACGCTCCAGTGTAAGAACCCTATGAGAATCCTATGAGGAGAGGCTGAGGGAGCTGGGGTTGTTGAGCCTAGAGAAGAGGAGGCTCAGGGGAGACCTCATCACCCTCTACAACTCCCTGACAGGAGGGTGTAGCCAGGTGGGCGTCGATCTCTTCTCCCAGGAACCAGCAGTAGGACAACAGGGCACGGTCTTCAGCTGTGCCAGGGGAGGTTTAGGTTGGATATTGGGAAGAAATTTTTTACGGAGAGAGTGATCAGCCATCGGAATGGGCTGCTTAGGGAGGTGGTGGATTCATCGTCCCTGGAGGTGTTTTAAGATGAGACTGGATGTGGCATCAGTGCCATGGTCTGGGAACCACGGCGGGGTTGGATCAAGGTGGGACTTGATGATCTGAGCAGTGTTTTCTAACCCAGTTGATTCTGTGATTCTAACCCAGCTGTCAGCCAGGTCACTTCACAGATGGGCTGGGCCCTCTGAATTCATCCCAGCTTCCTTAAATGTGCTGGATGAGGAACACAGAAGCCCAGCTGTACATATGTACTGATGCGGTTAATACAAGTACTAATTTAGTTTTTATACTCTGCAACATCTGTAGAGATTTAACACACGTTTAGTGTCAAAACACCTTGGTTTTTATTTTCCTATCCTTTTTGAATCAGGTTAAGCTGTAAACAATTTCTGTTTCAATCAAATACTGCCAGCTAGAATTACTTCCATTCATGCATCACTGAAAACAAAAAGGGTATTTTTCCTTAAGTATAGGTTTTTCTTTTTTTAAACCATGTCACTTTATACAGAAACCAAAAGCTAGATTCAATGCACCCTGATTAGTTATGTAAACAGATAACCCCCCAAAAAAACCTCATCAACAGAACTAATAAGTTGGTTCCTTCATAGAATGGAAATTACAATCTCTCCTGACTTGAGGTTAACATGGTCAGGAGTACTGAGTGTGGCACATAAATCCATCTAGGAGGTGTATAAATTGCACTGTATCTGAATTAACGAAGTTATGCATAATGAAATGCACAGTTTAAATTCATGCTAGAAAGCATTTTTCAGTATGAAGTGGTAGCCAACAGGCAACCATAACAGTTAGGTTCTGCACCATCATTTATGGCATTATAGATAACTATTACATATAGCATACTTAAAAACCCTGAAGGATTGTGTTACTTGAAACATTCTCCAGGCAGTCGTTTGGTTTGAATCGTTGGGAGAAAGACTAAAGAGCTCACCATCTTATACCAACTATGGTACCTTTAACTCTCATGAAGTAGATCAGATATGACGTGTATTTCACAGTAACAAAGTTGCTTAATGCCTTTTCTCCAACAGTAGGATTGTGGAAGATGTTTCTGCCCTCAGATCACCATTGTCCTGGTGGCTTTCCCTTTTCTTAAGTATGGATAACTATACTGAGCACTTTTCCTGGGTTTTAACTATTCATCAGTCCTTTCAGTATATCCTCGGAGAGTTCCAGCAGTGGGAGTTCAGGGGATGGGATGTCCAGGGGGGGAAGGTTGGGTATTGGAATGTCCTTTGCCTTCCCAGCAGTTGTTGTGAACTTCTGCCAAGTTGCAGCTGAAGAAGTACTTTCTGAGTGTTGCTGCAGACCCCACAACTCTGACTTCTCTACAAAGTCAGCATCTACATCCAGCTCCTTGTCTACTGGAGATTTTTGGAGTCTAGCTCTTTCTGCTTTTAGCTGCTTATTCTCTCTCCTTAATCTCTCGTTTTCAGCTACAAGAAATTCTATGTGCCGTTTCAAATCTGCAATTTTGGTTGCCTGCTCTTCTATTATTGTTTTGTCATCTTTTGGAGCTTTACTCCCAATACATGCTTCCACCGGCTCCTTTTTTTTCTGAAGCAGAAACAACAGTGTATCCGGGTCCCTGTCAAAGACACCCTGAACATCCTGTGAATGTTTCTCTGTGGAAGGGCTGTATTTCTGAGTAACAGGAACCAGTATGTTTTGATCATCAGAGTCTTCAGCAGATGGCTTGTAAGAAGTCTGAAGGTGTGTGGCTGTTTCCTTGTCAGCATTCTGCTGGGCCTTCAGCTTTTCCTCCCTCTTTGCCCTTTTCCACCTCTCCTGGATGAGCAGTAACTGTTTCATGTGACTATCCCTTTGTAATTCCAGTGACAGCTGAGCCTGGGTAAGAACAAGATTAAACAATTTAGTGGGTGTTCCCTGATCCCACCTGAATATTCATGCAGGTAAAGTTACATGTGTGTAAATATTTACATAAACAGCATCACAGCATGGCTGAGGGGGAGGAACTTTTGTTATTCAGGTACTAAATCCAACAAGAAGTGCTTTCTGCATGTACAATGCAACAGATTCAGATATGTCACCCAAATTTAGCAAAAAAAATGGTCTTTTTTTTGTAAGTCACTGACCAGGCTACAACCCCTCTGTTTAACTGATGTCTGAACAGCACCAGGAAGGAAGGGGTTCTCCTGTCATGCACAGCCTCGCTTTGGCTAAACGACGCAAACGTCTTGTATGCTTCTGTGATGGGATCTGGACAGACATATCAATAACACCCAAAACCAAGCAGCAAATTGCTCCGAGGCCAGATACAGTCCCAAAAGATTCAGCCAGATTGAATGAAGGGGGTGGCATTAATACCTCACAGGAACCACCTGGGTGAGAGACCATTTTTCTACAAGAATGACCCTTTGTAGCAAAGACAGAAGCCTGATCTCCAAGGGTTATTTGCTTGCATAATATATGGCTAAATTCAAAGCCTGCTGCTGTAACAGTGCTGAGCAGACTACACTGCTACATTCACAGGCAGCTTGGTGCAGTGAATAAGGAAAGGTGTCGGGGCTGTTGTTCTGGAGATTCCCCAGTCAGGATGAATGAACCCAAAATTACAGACTGCAGATGAGACGCTCAGCTTTGTGTCTCAGCAAAGTGCCTCCCAGCAAAAGCTAAACACGAAACTAGTTTTATCGCCTCCTTGAAGATGCCTGGCAGACCAGAAAGCTGGAGACCCCTTGGATGGCTTAGCATTTCTCTTCTCCCTGCTCCACATAAACTTGGGAAAACTCTCTCAGAAGACTGGTGTTACCACATTTGTGACACTCCCGGTGCGGTTGCCGAGGGCTCAGAAACCTTTGGGGAGGGTAACGCCCAAGGGGGATGTGATGAGAGAGGGCACAGTGGGACACAGGGGAGCTGTGGCTGTTCTGGCAGCTGCTGCACTCGGGTCTCACCTGCTCCGACTGGGTCAGCTTCATGGCGTCCGTGAGGTACGCTGTGGAGAGAGAACGGATCAGCGCTCAGCACGGCCACACAACCTCAGCATTCCCATAAAACCTGAGGAAAGGCTCCAGGCCTTCTGTGTGCTGAACTCCCACATAAACACAGCAGTCTAGAGGCACAGTATTTACCGAGTTACAGTGGCTGGAAACATCTGCTGGTTTTCAAAAGCCAGGAAAATTTGCTGTAAGACCTTGCAACGCACACTACACCCTTTCCATGGTATCCTGGTGGCTCAGGTTGCTCAAATTTGTTTTTCAGAGAAGGATAACAGCCATTTCCAGAAAGTTGCAGAAGAATAACTTTCCCATGAAGGGAAGAAACACAGCCAAGGACCAGACTTTTAGCATACAAGCACTTTATAACAAAATGTGGTAAGATCCTCTTGCCCATGGCACACCAGTATTATAAAGTCACGTTTTTAAACTATATTCATAATGAAAACTTATGGTCCTTAGTTTCTCACTTTTTTCCCCCAGTTCCCCTCCAAACCAGAAAACATGCTGGCTTAAGAGTCAGAGAAGCACTTTGAGCATATCTTGCTAGTGCTGAAAATGACAAGGTGTAAGAAATTCTAAACCCAATTTGGAATGATGCAAGATAATGGCATAGAATCACCAGACAAAGAAAAGCAAGAAACATTCAGTGTCCCTCTGGGTTTTGTCTTGGTATATGAACTGAAAGAAAACCAAAAGTCTGCATATTAGAATGTGTTACCCCTGATCACTCTGAGTATTTGTAAAAACCAAAGAAAAGATCAGTTTCTCACTTTAACTTCTACTATTTATGAATGGAAAGTGAGAAGGCCCGGTATCTAGGTTCTGACGTTTAGAGTAGCCACCTACTTTGTCTCCTCAGAGCCCTGTCACTGAAAATGCCCTACTTGTTGCACCAATTAAGACCTCCTCTTTCTTCTTCTGCCGAGCAGCTGCTGCTCTTGGCTGAGGGACTCCAACACAGATAATTAGGCAGGACTGTTTAAATGGACAGGTAAATGCACAAGGTCTCACACAGGACAGGGTGTCAATCTGCTGTTTTGCTCGAGCTCTGGGGAAGCTGAGCTCGTCACCTGTTCTCAGCTGCCTCGATTCGGACATTAGGAAAGGGAAGTAAACTTTTGTAAGCAAACATTTGTCTAAGTATTTTCTTTATTAGCAGGGGAAGCAGGTGACCTCAGCTATGAAAGCAGTGAAGAAAACAAAGTGAAAAGTGAAACTGGCTTACAGCAGGTACCCAGCTTTAGTCTGTGCATGACACAAGGTGTTGGCTTCATCTTCTATCAAGAACTGCATTTTTAGTGATAACCACCCCCAGTCAAAACAACTTTGAAAATGTCTGACTTGAGCTGCTCATATGAGGAAAAAAAAGTTTCCAAAGGGCTCTTGATCTGGACTGAAAAACAAACTCACATTTTAAAAATAAAAATTGTGCAAGTAACTAGATATTCTACTTACACAGAATCATAGAATCACAGAATATTCTGAGTTGGAAGGGA